TGGCGTTGTGTGCGCATGAGTGGAATGAGCATGAACTAGCATGGAATGATGGGGATGCAGCCGGCAGGCTGAGGGGGAGTGTGTTGGGTGCAAATTTACATTGCACGACATCCTGCCGTCTGTTTGTACGAGTATGCGTGTGCGAATGCATTTGGGTGTGAATGGAATGTTCGTGTGTTTGTTTGCTTTCGCAATTTTCGCTTGATGCATTTGCAGGTACTCGCGCAATGTGCGCTTCGGCACAACATTGTACGCGCTATGAACAGTGCAAGCAGAAAGGACGAGCTCGCAAAGGAACCCAAGATGGAAGCTTTGCAGTTCGGTTGAGTTGATTGCGCAGATTCAGTTCTATCCAACTCGAAATTGTACTGTTTTGTTTGGTTAACTATAGTGTAGCAGGGAAGGCACTATAAGGGTACAATTTAGGTGAAGGTTGGATGTTGTTTGTCTGTATCTGCATGCTACAAGGCCAGGGGAAACCAGCGGAACCAGCATTTGGCTGGTTGGGCAAAGACAAAACAGGTTCTGTTTTTAGAACCTGAACCTGGTTGTTGTTTTCCCAGGTTGGAAAAAACAGAACCAGAGGTTGTTTACCAACCTACCACCTGCTATTTTGTCCAGCCAGGTTGGTTCTGTTGCTTGGAATTATTTGGGATCATCCCTGGTTGTTCCCAGGTTGATTCCCAAGGTCCTTGCTAGCTAGAACTATTTAATCCTTCTCTGTTTGTACCTGAATATAGTCAAATTGATTCAAGCGAATTCCTTCCTCGCTGGAATTTCGTTTCTGCGCTATTCGACGGCGGAATGCTACCCGAGTCAACGCTAGTATGCTAGCACTCCAACGCTAGGCAAACGCTGTCCGAGCCAGAACTTAGTAATGGCAGAACTTTTCGCGAGGCAACTTGGCTCATTTTAAAGCTCTTGGAGCGAGCTTCGATATAGCGAATTCTCAGCTTAATCCGATCGACGGTCTGCACGGCACGCTGCGCGACGTTCAAGGTGCTCTTGCTGTTTTGACTAAGTCCTTCTTGATCCCTCTCTCTACAAACTCGGACCCGAGGATAGGGGCTGGTCTTGTACCAGGCACCCAGGGACCCTTGGAGGTGACCCCGAGGAGAGGTTTTAAGTTTGATTAAGTCCTAATAGCTTGAGTTTATTAGGCCCTTACACCAACAGGTGTCGCAACCCCTGTAAATTCTTGGCTGCAGGTGTAGTTCTCCTCCGAAATTTTCGGTCGTAGTACGGTCACCAGTAGTTTCCGTCAGTTCACCCGAACCCAGCATGCGGGTATAATCGGGAACCGGGGACTTGCCCTGGGTTATTCCGAGACCGTCGTTCACGGAGCCTAGCGCGCCTCAACGCCGTCAACCCCGTCGTCGAACTGCCCTTACCGATGCTGCTTAACAAATTGTCACAGTTCTCCCACTGGCGCTTTTGCAGATGTGCCACTCATCACTCGTCGTTGGCAGGTAAGTCTTGAAACTTCGACTGCTACCATTTTTTTTTTTTTTTTTTTTGTTTTCCACTCCCCGACAATATCGCGCACCACCGTTCACCCAGCGTCCGCGTCTGCCGGTTGAAGTATAAGGGTAAAGCTCTCCATTTTTTGGGTGTTTTCGACTCCCCGACAATATCGCGAAATCGCCGTTCACCCAGCTTCCGCGTCTGCCGGTTGAAGTGTAAGGATGAAGTTCCCCGCGCGATAATCCGGCTACGGTGAAGGCACAAATGCTATCGGAGTCGGGGCAGTTTTATTTAAAAAGCTCGCACCCAACCGCTTTGCAGCCCACCAGCCTATCACGCCACGTAATGCCGCAACTTCTCGGTCCCAGCTTCGCCGCTGCGCCGTCAATCAGAGTAGACACTCGGGTCAGGAGGAAACCGTAGACTGCACCGCTGTTTTCGTCGCAGCTCCCCGACTTTTTCGCGTGCCGTTCACCCAGCCCGCTTTTGTCGGAGTAGAACAGTGCCGCGAACTTTTTTTTTTTTTTTTTTTTTTTTTTTTGTACAGCTGTCGAACAAGCACCAAACCAGGTGCCTTTAACCAGCACAGGGTAGGCACGTGTTCACCCCCGTTATTCGGCCAGGTCAGGTCGGCTGCATGAGCCGGAACCAAGACTTGGTGGGGATGGTGAGGTTCGGGCGACGGAGGGCGGCAGGTCGTTTCCACCGGCTTTTAACCTGCTCCCTTCATCGTTCTCCAACCCCCGCTTAGCCGTCGGGTAGTTTCTTCCCGGATGACCCGGAATCCTGCACCACACTCCTCTGAAAATGGCGGAATGGTACGTGGACGCCGTTTAACCGTGGGCCGCTGAGACTGTCCTCGAAAACAGCTTCCGTACGGGGAATCCGCTCTCGCAAAAACTTGAACAGTTGTCAACAGCACTAGGTGCGCAGTGTCGTGCGAAGGTCTTTCCGAGGTGTACAGTCTCGAATTGCCCTTGCCGCCTGCGCCCCACTTCTTCTTAAGTGCGATTTAGCCACCGCGTTTTCCGTTGCTGCCTGTAAGTGTTGGCGGGTATGAAGCCCCGTCTGTCCACATGCACTCCTGCCGAAATCGTCGGTGACGCGCCCGCCACGCAGTAAAAGCGCACTTAGACGGTCGGGCGGGACGGCAGTTGACTCCCGCAATAGTCGGGCAGTCGTCGTGGCGTCTCTCCTCGTCACAGACTTTTTTCCGACGCAGTTACTTTGGCGCCTGTCGAGTCCCAACAGTGTCCCTTGTTTTTCTTCAACAGTAGCTCCGAAAACTTCGCCCACAGTGATGCACGTCCGCTGTCAGCAGTTGGAACACTCCTAAAATGTCGCGCGCACGTTGACGTCACCCCACGCCAACTGCCGCACAGGACGACGACTCCGAAAATTTCGTGCAGGTGCCGACGCAGATCCGCTGACGCCAGCTGCCACACGAAAATAACTCCGAAATCGTCGCGACAGCTCCAGCTGTCCGTTGCCCGGGGGGAGGGAGGTCACGGTCGATCGCGACCGTTCGAGGCAAGGATCTGGCGGTGCCGAAGGAGTGCCCGTAAAAACATCGCCGCTGAGAGCAACTAACTAGTTCTCTTGGCCGGCCTACGCAACTCCTGGACCCCAAGGCATCCTTCCTCGTCCCCCCCCCCCCCCCCCCCGAGGGGTATTACACTCTAAAAAGCGGGGTAGGCTAGGAAAGTAGCTCTGATACCAGGTGTTATGAATGAACTTGCAGAGCACGCAGTAAAACGGATATCGAGAATGAACTGATTACTGAATGACGATACAATGAGAAAGGCACGACTAAATAGGGGAAATCCTAGCTAGGCGAAGAGGTAGGGCGAAGATGGCTCGGTGATGGTTGCGATTGGTGCGGAGCCGACTCGGGAGTGGTTCGGTGCGACGAATTAGGCAAGGCAGGTTCGTCGCGACACCCTCGGGATGTACTCGCTAAAGTGCGAGTTAGTAAGGAATTGTAATTCCTTACAGTTTCCTTCTCTTCCGTGCCCATAGTATCCTATCTTGTTATTCTTGCTGACTCAGGAAACTCCAAGTTTCCTATAGCGCTTCCCACTATTTTTAAGCTCTCAGTTTCTGTGTTATAACGTAGTCAACCTTGTACGCATGAATCTGGTTCGAAAGAAATGTAAAATTAGTTAGGACGTGGTGAAAGTAGACGAGCGATCGTCAGTGGCGATCGGTGTGTGGCTCAGTTATCATTTTTTCCCAAATGTAACTATTCTACAGTTCATGTTTTGGCCAAATTTAGGGTTCTGTGTGTGAATGAGACTGATCGTTGATCGGGGGAGATCAGTGATAGGCATCAATCAAGTGAACCGAGCCTACATGGCCCAATTGATTTGGAAGCATGCAGTCGCCGAAGTTATCGCAGGGCCAGAAAAGGGAGTCGTCAGGGTTGTCGACTTTTCGCCGAAGTTATTGCAGGGCTTAGACGAAGCTTGTAATTTTGGGCCCGTGTCGCAGGCATGGCAGTGTTCTCACATGTGGAATATAGAACACCAATCTCAGGTCCGATCTTTACAACAGAGCGATCGCCATGTTTCGCCAAACGATCAGAACACTCGATTGTGAGGCTCGATGTATGCAGACGATCCCGCGATAATTGCACTTTCACCGTGTCCTTATTCATGCGTTTCTCAGTGGTATATAGCAGAAATATCTGGCATTGTGGCATGAAGAGAACATGAATGCTCATTCATAGTTGATGATGTAGGTTTTGTTAAGTGGGTGTAGGTTTGTAGCGATTTCGGTTGTTGGTGTGGTGTTGTACGCTACAATGACGGTGCAAGTTCACTGCAACGGGGACGGATCGCGTGGGCGATCTGCCCTGGGTTGAACTCGCGTCGCAGTCGTTACAGGCACATATGGTTCTCACATTCCAGGTGATAATGGGGATGGCCCCCCGCGCGACCACTGCTTTTGCCAATAGAGAAAAGCACGGTTAAGAACGGTTTAAGTAATGCTTAAGCGTTGGGATGCGATACAAGGTGGTTTTTTTCAACGTTGGTGTACCAGAACATGCGACGCGGCCGAAATCTCCCTGCCCCGTCTGCTCTCGGGGTTCTCCCTGACTTCAGATTAGGCCAGCATGAGTGCTGGGTTGAATCGTCTAGTCTCTTGAATCGCCCACATGACTAGAGCACAAAAGACTCAGCTGTGTTGAACTCGAGTTTCGTCTCAGACCGACCGCTTTTTCAGGAGATCCTGCTCCTAATTGTTTCCAGTTCGTAAGACCAGCCGTAGCAATTATCTTTACAGGAAGCAATCAAACCACATCGTAATTTTTGCATAGTCGTGGACGTCAATCAGAACTATTCGTAGGAACTCACATCCGCTAGCGGGATATGTATCACCCTCGCCCCTCTCGCGCTGGGCCGCGCGCCGTCGCGCGGTACTTGGAAACCGTCAGCGACCCTCAGGATCACGAGCGACGTCGCGCGAAGGTCACTGCGATGTCTAACGACCTCAGCCTAATTCGCCAGCGGTTTCGCGAAGTGCAAGAGGACGACATGTACCTGTCGCAGGAGCTCGAGCGCATTCAGCGGCAGCGCGAGGAAGAGGCGCGCCACGAGGCGAAGCTGGATTTTCGCGGGCTTCGGCTCTACCGCGAGTTAACCGCTACATCCGAACCCATGTATTGGCGCGAAAATCCCGATAAAACGGAGATTACAGGAGCCAAGGCAACCGTACCGGCTGCTGCTAACCCTGGTAACCCGCCGGGTGGTAACATGTGGAGTTACTCCTCTGTCGCTCCGTCTTCGTCGGGTTCCAAGCCGCAGTATATGGGTCAAACGTCCACTTCCGGGGTGACCTTCTATGGCGCGAATGGCGGCGGGAGAAGCGGACGGATTGAGACGTACGAGAGTGCGGTGAAAAATGGGGAAAGCGAGGGGAAGAAAGCTGAGAGCAAGAAGAGCGGCGGGGGTTTTGCGAGTTGGCTGATGGGAGGGGCAGACCAGGAGCAGCACCTGCTGTGGGATGAGCCGAAATATAAGGAGGGTGAGGCGAAACTTATTCTGTGAGGGAAGTTTAGAGGTTGACGTAGCGCGAATGCTAGTCTTTGCTTGTAGGAGGACCATAGTGGTTGCATGATAGAGCGGGTGAATTTCCGAGTCACCATGTGCATAATAATCGGTGTCCAATAGATGTCACCTCTCATGAAATCTTGCATTTAACGTTATTCCTCCATGGTTGAACTGTATATTGGGACTGAAAGACAAGGAACGGTAAATGTATCCTGTAATTCTCGAATTTCGTCTTCATAGCCAACGGAGCGATATTTCTAGGCTTTGAAAACAGCAACATTTGCTGAGGTATATTTCAGTGTACTTCTTACAGTGCCAAGCCTATCATCCCATCAGGTCAAACAACCCGTTACGGTCATATTCTGTACTATCACATGTGAGAAATCCGAAACCACGTCTCTCCACATCGGAGCCCCTTCGACGTGGCAAGCGACTTGGAATGCGAGGCGCCCGCGATTACAGCAGGCGTCGTCGGCGCACCGCGAATTCAATGTCGAGGGCGCATCGCGCTTCGGTACAACCAATCCAATCCGCTCCACTCCACTCCACATCCACGGCCACTTCGCCCACACACCCCATTTCGCCCCTCCCTTCCCATGCCTTCCCTTTCCTCCTCCATAGTCGCAAGACGTATGCACTGCTCCAAGTTCCAACTGCTCTGCTCCTGATGATGATCCACACAACCTTCCAACTGCTCTGCTCCATTCCCGAATCCTGGTCGAAATAGTACATTCCATCACTTTCGTCATTTGCCATCCCGCTTCTATTATGGTGACCGACGAGTCTATGGCGTCGTAGCTTCCATTTTGCGCTATATTATGAATGCGTGGCCGCTGCTCTCGTGGAACTAGAAATCGAGCTATATCAGGGTTTGGGATTCTTTTTAGACCCCTGGGTTCCGCAAATGAACTCCCACAAGATCTAAAGACACCTCGGTAGTCCACGTTCCGACGGACGGATTAGGATTTCTCGCATAGACAGGTCGTAGCATGTATTCCCACGCGCCGTATGGCGAGCGGCGGCGGGGTCGCCCGTCGCCCGCGGAGTTTTACCTCGAAGATCGCAGCGAGCGCGAGCGACGTCGCGCGGAGATCGGCGGCTTCAGCAAGGACTTGGAGGAGATGCGACAGCGACTGCGTGCGATGAGGGTGGAGGAGACGCAGGAGATTCAGCAGCTGCGGAAGAAGCAGGAGCAGGAGGCGTTTGAAGCGGAGCAGGCGCAGAAATTGCGCGAGCAGCAGATTCTCCTCCTGCAGAAGCAGCGCCAGTTAACTTACGCCACGTGGCGCGGCGAAGGCACGCGTCCGTACGAGTCGCCGTTCGAAAAGGAGTCGGAGTTGCTACCCTCCGCGTATCACGCTGTGGTCGGCAAGCCGCACTTACCTGTTGCGAATGCACCAGTGAGAGTCGACCACGTGGAGCTTCCTCCGCCGGTCTGGTCCGCGACGCGTTCGTCCGCGAGCCTCTTTAACTACGCGAGCCGCGGCACCGGCTCCTACAGTCGGGCCACTGGGTCCGGGGCGCGCGGCTTGGGCGCCGCAATGTCCGGCGCCAGCAGCGGCGCGAGCCGGAGCAGCGGGGGAAGCAGCTTGTCGGACGCCGTTTGCTCTAGCAGCAGCAGCGGCGGCTGTGACGTGACGGCTAGCCGTCAGTCTGACGGAAGCAGGTACGTGGCGACCAGGGGCTACGGTCATGGTGGTATCGCAAATGACGTGGCGATGACGTCACATCCGTACAGCGGCATTGCCCCTCCTTACACCGGCTTCAGCTTGAAGAGCGCTACGAGCGGGGCTGGCGAGAGCGCCCGTTACAGTCACACTCGCAGCGCGACCAGCAGCAGCAGCACGGACGGAAGTGACGATACTGAAGATTTCGACCCGCGCGGCCAGCGTAACCCGACCGCGCTACCTGTTCCGAAGCTCCCCACCCCGCCTGTGCCTGCGCCTGCGCCTGCGCCTAACCCCTTCGTTTCTGTCTCGCCACAGACCATCCCGCTCGCTGTTAGCACATCCGTTGGTGGCGCTAACCACAGTGTCATGGCGGGCGTTTCGTCCTCGCCGCCGTCGGATCCTTTTCAGGAGCCGCCATCTGAACCGTCCACTCCGATCGTCCTCTATTCGCCCACCGCGTTTGCCGCTCGCGATCCCTCCCTCCAGCCGTCGTTCAGCTGCTTCCTCACCTCCTCCGCGCTCCACTCTTCTGCTTCCTCCTTTTCCTCTTCCTCATCTTCCGCCACGTCCGCCTCACCATTCTCTCCCGCTTTATCCTCGTCTTTGTCAGCCTCGCTATCCGCTACTGCCGACGATGCGGAGGCCGCCGATTCCGACGATGCGCCTCTTCTGTCGTCGTCGACTCAATCTGGATCTGCGCCCGCCGATCGTTATAGTCACTACGCGGAAGACGCGCTTGAGGCTTCCGCCTGGAGCCCTCCGCGCGCCTCCCTTTCGCCCCCTCCCAGCGGCTCCGCGGATGCTGTTATTGACGAACCCTTGCCGCCCGCAGCCACGTCAGCACAATCCGACGTGGCAGATGCGACGTGGCAGGCACCCGATGCCTTCTCTGCGCATCCCTTCGCTCACTCCGCAAGCCGCGCCGCGTTCGACGGCGGAGTTGCTCCTTCTCTGCCTCATGCCTCCCTTCTGATGTCGTCTCACGACTTCGCGGAAGATTCGGATGGAGTAACAAAGGCTGAGGCAACGCCGAGCGCGGCTAGCACCACACCTGACGCCGCATCTTCCGCCGCGAATGGCGCCGCAACGGCCGCTGCCAGTGGCAGCTCGTTTCTCGGAAACCTCTTCTCATGGACGCGCGCAGAAACGACAACGCAGCCGCCCAAAACTGTGTCGCTGCCGCCCACGCTTTCTCTCGCGTCAGCACAGGTGTTCACTGGACCAGACCTTCACTCCACGTCATCGTACTTCGGTTCCACGTCATCAGGCAGCTCCAACCGCTCGATCAACGGCTACGATGCGGAGTCGGAGGTCATCGACGGCTCAAAGTCCAAGGAGGGAAAAGTTGAAGAGAATGGATATGAGAACAATAAAGAGGATGACAATAACGAGTTCGACGAGCCGCTTTACTTGCTGGACACCAAGCACGGATCGCGCAGGGAAGTTGGATGTGATTATAGCGAGCGTTCCACTAAGGAGCCTTCGTCTGCTGCACTGAACAGAGCTCTGAGCAAACTCGCTGAAACGAATGGCGCTTCGCATGCCACCGCCGCTGCTGCTGATGTTTCAGCTACAGCCGCTACAGCCGCTGCTGCTACAGCCGCTGCAACAGGTGCTGCTACAGCTGCCACAGCCGCTACAGCCGCCGCTGCTACAGCTGCCACAGCCGCTGCTACAGTGCCTGCTACAGCTGGAGGGTTGGGGAGTATGAGCTTCACTAGCCGACTGAGTCAGCTGATTGGCTTAGGCAGTGGCGGCGGTAACAGTAACAGTAACGGGAACGGTAATGGAAACGGTAACAGTGACGGTAACGGTATTGGTACTGCTATCAGCGGTGTTGGAAGTGGCATTGGCGGTGGGAAGGGATACGCGTTATTGAGCTTGGATGAAGGCGACGCTGTGACGTTTAACGAAGCGAGCCCGTCCTGCTGGGCTCCCACGTCAGCAGCCACGTCAGCCACCATAACCACCGCCACTAGTGCTCCTCCTGCTCCTGCTGCTCCTGCTGCTCCTGCTGCTTCGTTTGCAAGCATGAGAGGTACAGAGATTGAAAATGGTTTTGAGGCGCTTCGAATCGCGGAAGCGGGAGAAACGGCAACGGATGGAGAAGCGGGCATGGATGGGTTGGTTCTGCTCGCTGCTGCCGCTCCTGCTGCTCCTGCCGCTCCACCGTTTCCCAGCCTTGATGCGCTTGCTCCTGCTCTTGCCGCAGCGCCTCCTGTCTCCGCTGATACCGCGGATTCTGCTGCTTCTGCCACTGCTGTTGCTTCTGTTGCTGCTGCAGCTTCTGCTGCTACTGCTTCTGGTTCTTCTGTTGTTGATTCGTTATCCGCGAAAGGCAAGGGGAAGGCACCCAAGTCGTCGTCCAAAGCGGCTGCTGCGGCCGCCATTGCTGCCGCCGCTGCCGCCAAGATCGCCGCGCTGGGGATTGGGGGGAAGGCGGAGGAGAAGCGCCAGGCGGAAGCCGCGCAAGGGGGAGCGGGCGGGGAGGCGGGAAGCCGGGGGGAAGAAGGTGAATGGGGAGAAGGGGAAGCGGAAGGGGAAGAGGAGAGGAGAGGGGGCGCGCGGAAAGCGTTCTGGGATGAGGGGGAGTATGAGGGGGAGGGGGAGGCGGAAGAGGAGGTGAACGAGATTCTGGAGCTTCAGGAGTGGATGGAGGCGCAGATGCTGGTTGAGGGGGTGCGGAGAGCGTTCATGCGCGGAGGGACCGGGGGGAGCGGAGCGGCGGGGGGAAGAGGAGAGGTCGGGGGAAGCGGAGGGAGAGTGAATGAGGTGGAAACCGGAGGGGGAGGAGGAGGAGAGGAGGCAGCAACAGCAGGGGGAGTAGGAGGAGGAGCAGTGGCGAGCGTGTGTGATGCTGAGATGGAAGCGTGGATGCTTGCGCTGCCTCCGCTGGTGGTGATGGCTCGTAGTGACGATGGTGTAGAGGATACGAGTGAGGAGGAGGTGGAAGAGGAGGAGTGTGAGGAGGTTGAGGGAGAGGAAGTGGAGGAGGAAGAAGTGGTGGTGATGGCTCGTAGTGACGATGGTGTAGAGGATACAAGTGAGGAGGAGGTGGAAGAGCGAGGGGAAGAGATGGGAGAGGAGGTGGAAGGGGGGGAGGAGGTGATGGTGGTGGAGGAGGAGGAGGTGGAGGTGATTGAGTTGGAGGAAGGGGAGGAGCTGGAGGAGGGGATGGAGGTGGTTGAGATAGTGGAGAGGGAGGTGGTGGAGGAGGAGAGGGAGGAGGAAGAGGAGGAGAGGGAGGAGGTGGAGGAGAGAGAGGAGGAAGAGGAGCATGGGGAGGGATTAGAAGAAGCGGAGACTTTGGAGGAGGATGAAGTGGAAGAGGGTTGTGAGAGTGCGAACGACACTGAGTGTGAGGGGGAGGGGCGTGGTGCGGAAGCGTGTGGAAGCGAGGGAGAGAGAGATTTTGGTAGTGAGTGTGGGAGTGAGTATGAGAGCGAGAGGGAGAGTGAGGATGGGAGTGTGAGTGTGAGTGAGAGAAATAGTGAGTGTGGGAGTGAGACTAGGAGCGAGAGTGGGAGTGATATTGGGTCAGTGAGTGAAGCGAGTGAGAGTGTAAGGAGCGGAGATGAGAGTGAGGATGAGAGAGCAGGGATCGAGGAGGGGTGCGGTGGGAGTGAGGGGGAGGAAGTGGCTGAGAGTGAGTGTGGGAGTGAGGGGGGAGAGGGAGGCAGTCTGAAGAGTGAGGGAGAGGACGAGGATGGGGAGGAGGGAGGCGGAAGGAACGCGGGAGATGAAGCTGCTGAGAGTGAGTGTGAGAATGAGAGTGAGAGTGGGAGTGAGAGGGGAGAGGAAGGGAGTCAGAAGAGTAAGGATGAAAGAGAAGAGGAAGGCGAGGAGGGAAGCGACGGGAGTGATGGGTTTGCTGAGAGTGAGGGGGGAAACGAAGGGAGCTTGTCGAGTGAGGGAGAAGGCGAGGATGAGAGGGAAGAGAGCATCGAAGAGAGGGAGGAGGAGGAAGAGACGGAAGCGAGGGAAGAGACGGAGGAGAAGGTAGAGAGGGTAGTGGAGGAAGGGAGTGGTACTGAAGTGGGAGCTGAAATAAACAGTGAAGAAGCAGAATTCGGAAAATCAGAAGAGGCAGAAGGGGCAGAAGGGGCAGGAGACGGAGGAGAGGGGGAATTACAGGGGGGAGCTGTTGAGGGGATGAGGGAGGAGGAAAGTGAGGTGGAGGAGGGAGAAAGTGAAACGACTGGTGGGTGTGAAGACGAGGGTGTGGTAGTGTGTGAGGAGGGTGAGGATGAGAGTGAGGAGAGTAAGGAGGAGAGTGAGGAGGGGAGTGAGGAGGAGAGTGAGGAGGAGAATGAGGAGGAGAAAGTGGAAGTGGCACAGGAGGAGGGAGAGGAGGGAGAAGGAGAGGAGGAGAGTGCGGAGTTGAGTGGTGAGGAGAGAGCGGAGGGGAAGGAAGATCATGCTTCGTGCGCTGATGAGGCAGCATATGTGTCAGCTGATGTGGCAGTAGATGTGTCAGCTGATGTGGCAATGACGAGTGTGATGGGAGGAGAGGGCCACGTTGAGGAGAGAAGGGATGTGACAACAGACGTGGCAGGGAGCGCTGACCTGGCAGGAATTGTTTTCGATGCTGCTGACGTGGCCGAAAGTGCAAGCGTGGCAGAAGGAGCTGATGTGGCAGGAGCTGACGTGGCAGAAGATGCGGATGTGTCTGATGTGTCAAGTTGTGCTGATGTGGCAGAAGGAGCTGATGTGTTAAGTGGTGTTGACGTGGTAGAAAGTCCGGAAGCATGTGGCAGGCTGGCAGAGGATGCTGCATTTGACGCGGGAGGGAAGGAGGAAGAGAGTGTGGAGGGAGGTGAAGAGGAGAGTGGGGAGACGAAGGGAGTGGATGAAGCTTGTGTGGAGGAAGTGAGTGGTGCGGGTGAGGAGAGCGTGGAGGAAGTGAGGGTGGAGGAAGAGAGTGTGGAGGAGGGAGCTGAGGAGGAACGGGAGGATGAGGAGGTGGAAGTGAAGAGAGAGGAGGGTGGGGAGGGAGAGGGGGAAGAGGAGGGGGTACTGGAGGAGCAGGAGTGTGGTGATGGGGAGGAAGAGGTGGAGGTAGAAGAGGGTGAGGAGGGAGAGGAGGGTGAGGAGGTGAAGGAGGAGGAGGGGGGGGAGGTGTATGAGTGTGTGAGTGAGGGGAATTCGGACGTAGGGGAGGAAGTGGAAGAGGAGGATGAAATGAAAGAAGCAGAGGGAGAGGAGGCTGAAGAGGGAGAGGAGGCTGAAGAGGGAGAGGAAGTGGAGGGCGAGGAGGGAAAGGAGGGAGAGGGGGGCGAGGAGGAGGAGGTGCATGAGTGTGTGAGTGAGGGCGACGTGGAAGAGAGGAAGGAAGACGAGGGAGCGAAGAAGGAGGGAGTGGAAGTGGAGGAAGAAGACGAGGTAATGGAAGCACATGCAGAAGAGGTGGAAAAGAGAGGGGAGGAAGAGGAGGGAGGGGAGGAAGAGGAGGGAGGGGAGGAAGAGGAGGGAGGGGAGGAAGAGGAGGGAGGGGAGGAAGAGGGAGCGGAGGGAAGAGGAGGGAGTGATATACGAGTATGTGAACGAGGAGGATCTCGAGGAAGGGGAGAAAGAAGAGGAGGTGATGGAAGAAGCACAGGCAGAAGACGAGGTAGAGGTAGCGCAGGAGCGAGAGGAGGGAGTAGAGGGAGAGGAGGGAGAGGAGGGAGTGATATACGAGTACGTGAATGAGGAAGATCTGGAGGAAGGGGAGGAGATTGTTGAAGTGACAGAGGAGGGAGAGGAGATAGGCGAGAGGGAAGTGGAGGCAGAGGAGGGAGTGATATATGAGTATGTGAACGAGGAGGATGTTGAGGAAGGGGAGGAGATTGAGAAAGGGGAGGAGATTGAAAAAGCGACAGAGGGGGGAGTGCAACTAGAGGAGGGAGAGGAGACAGAGGAGGGCGAGAGGGAGGAGGAAGAAGAAGAGGGAGTGATAACGAGTATGTGAACGAGGAGGATGTTGAGGAAGGAGAGGAGATCGTTGAGTTCGTGTATGAAGACGAGGAGGGAGAAGAGGAGGGAGGGGAGGGAGAGGGGGAAGTTGATATATTGGAGGGCGAAGGGGAGGAAGAGGGGGAAGGGGAGGAGGTGGAGGAGATATTATCTGAAGATGAGAGAGAGCAGATGTTGGATGATGATGGTTACCTTGATGATGGGGCGGAGGAGGAGGAGAGGGAGGAGAGGGAGGGGGAGAGGAGGGAGAGGAAGGATAGATGGGGAGGAGGGGGAGGAGGAGAGGGGGATGAGAGGGAGGTGGGAAAGGGGAATAAAGATTGGATGGTGATGGAGATGGAGATCCAGGGCGATGAGGAGACATTGGATGGTGGGGAGGGGGAGGTGAAGGAGGAGGGCGTGGAGAGGAGGAAGAGGGTGAGTTAGGGGTGGCAAGTGAGGAAGTTGGAGATGGGAGCAAGGGACAGGAGGGGAAAGAGGTTGAGGAGGCGGAGGAGGGAGAATGCACGCTTGAAAGTGGGGAACAGAGTAACGGGGATGGCGAAGGGGAGGGGAGTGCTGAGGAAGGTGAGGATGCGAGTGCGGGTGGGGAGGAGGGGAGTGAGTATGGGGATGATGTGAGCTTGGGGAGTGGGGAGGAGTACGAGGAGGTTGAAGAGGAGTATGAGGAGGTGGAGGAGGAGCTATCTTACACTGTGAGTGAGGAGGAGGGTGAGGAGGAAGTGAGTGAGGGAGGGGAAGGGGGAAAGGGTGAGGGAGTGGGGGAGGGAGAGGGAGAGGAAGGAGAGGTTAGTGGGGAGGGTGTTGCAAGCGGATCAGAGGGATCTAAGGAGGAGATTGAGGGGAGCAAGAGTGGAGGAGAGGATATGAGTTTTGAAACATCTCTTACAAAGAACGAAGAGGAGATATTGATGGATGGAGGTATGGAGGAGAAAATGGGCTCAGAGGATGGGGAGTGGGAGGAATTTGGATCAGAGGAAGGCTCGTGGGAAGATTCAGAGGAATTCCCAGGGGAAGGTTCACATGAAGACGAAGCAGATGGGACAGGCGAATCAGAAAGTACGGGGCAAGAAGCGGAAACCTGTGCTGCCTCGACTCCACAGCACAAGGAGCACAAGGCGAGGGCGGGGAGGAGGCGGCGCCGGGTGCACAAGGCGGTTGTGTCGTTTGGGAAGTTCATCCCGCCTGAACTGAGCGAGCTGGAGTCGCATGAGCTGGAGGGGGAGGGGGAGGGAGCATGTGAGGGGAGCGCTGCTGTGGTGCAGAGCTGAGTCGAGATGAGCTGAGAGCTGGGTGCACAAGGCAGGAGTGTCGTTTGGGAAATTCATCCCCCCTGAGTTGAGCGAGCTGGAGTCGCATGAGCTGGAGGGGAAGGGGATGGAGAATGAGCATGTTGGGCGAGTGCTGGTGCTGTGGTGCAGAGCTGAGCTGAGGTGTGCCGAGCGCAGGGTGCACAAACAAGGCGGGGGTGTCGTTTGAGAAATTCATCCCCGCTGAACTTAGCGAGCTGGAGTCGCATGAGATGGAGGGGGAGGCGGAGGGAGCATGTGGGGCGAATGGTGGTGCTGTGGTGCAGAGTTGAGCTGAGTTGAGATTAGATGAGATGAGATGAGATGAGATGAGATGAGATGAGATGAGATGAGAGCAGGGTGCACTAGGCAGGGTTGTCGTTAAGTTCATTCCCGCTGAGTTGAGTGAGCTGAAATCGCATGAGATGGAGGGGGCGGAGGGCGGGGGGCACAAAGGGGAGGAGAGATATTGGAGTGGTGCTGTGCGGTTGAGCTGGGCTGGGAGGCGGGGTTGAGCGACCTGGAGTGCCATGAGGGGGAGGGGGGCAGGAGAAGAATGGGAGGGACAGCGTGAGTGCTGAGTGGTTGTGTTGTGTGGGGCAGGAGAAGAAACGAGTGTTGAATTTGGCAAAGTATGATGAGGTGGAATGTTTGTGCACTCTATTCATGCAGCCACTCTTGAAGGTTCATCTCAAGGCATTCTAGCTATCTCTTGGGCCAATGGGAGGTTGATGCTGGATTTGGTGTAAACCTGAGAGAAAGTGGGACCTTTCGAGTAAACCTGGGGGTAAATATGAGAGAAATCTGAAAGTAAGGATCTAGGATATAGTTTCCCTTGTTGTTATGTACAATTGCAGTGGAATTGTATGACTGCTCTGGCATGGCTTGCGAGTTGCTCTGTACCAACCATGGCATGGTTCGCATGGTATGAAGGGAAAGCCAATCAGGATGCTTGCATTTGCGGCCACCCAATAACCTGTCGCCTCGCGCGTGACCGTGCGACTCGTGAGAGCACTGACGACATCAGCCCTTAGTTTGCGACACTTTCGCCAGGCGCTGATCAGTCCCGAGGCGAAACTTTCTGTGGTCGGACAGACTGCAAAATCAGTGTGGCGACGAACAAGTCGATGTGCGGAGCGGATGGATGGTGGATGGATGTGCGAAGTCTGACGGAAGCCGGCTGAGTGTCAGCTGTATGGACGGAAAAGTCGTGAAACAGACAGAATTGCAACTGTAGGTAACGGAATCGGAACAGACAAATGCAACTCCCCAGGGGATAGGCGAGAGGAGGGGGGGGAGTGCCGTTGCGAAACCCTAGCCCAACCAGCCATTTCCCTTTCTCAACCAATCCCGAGGAGCACAAACCTCGAGGTTTGTCGGAGTTACGGCGAGGAAAAAAACCCATGGAGCCACTGTGTCAGTCAGTCAGTCACTGCTCGTGAGGAGAGGACACCACATCGCATCGCAACCATTGATCATGACGGAAAGCAGCTAGAAAGAGTCGGATTCATTGGTATTTCCGAAGTGGTTTCCTGGTTGTGTGTGAGAGGTTACGTGCAGTTGTTGCCTTCCAACGCTCTCCTGTGCTGGGGCTTGCGAAGAGCTCGCCCCGAGATGTCGTCATGGCTTTAGCTAGGCTTTTAGGGCGTCGGCTCAGCCCTAAGATTAGAGTCGCGAGGGTAGTAGCGCAGTCACGTCAGAACTAGCGTCTCATCTTGAGGCTTAGTTCAGGTCCGTCTACGTCCGTCCAGGTCCGTCCGGGTCCGTCCAGGTCCGTCCAGGAATGGCTAAGAACAGGAGGAGCTCCGGCGTGGGGTCTTCGGATCCCACCGGCGCTGCTGCCGGGCTGTCTAGGAGCGGTAAGCCGGTAGGCGTGTCGGGCCGGCTGGTGAACGTGTTCGAGCAGCTGTGGAACCGTCGCAAGTTCGACATTCTGGGTCGCAAGGTCAAGGGCGATGTTCGCGCCAAGTCCATCGGCAAGGCCAGGAGCGCTGCTGTGGAAAAGGTTAGTTGTAGGGAATATGAAATAGCTTATTAGGAACTTAGCGACTGTTGAGTCGACGAAAAGGAAGTGCTGCGGTGGAGAAGGTTTGCGTTGACAGTGTAAGATGCAGTTTTAAGTGGCAGTTATAAGGACGGTCGTTGCTCGCTCATCTCTGATAGTCCTGTGCTGCAGACCGTGGTCGGCGAGATTCTGGCAATCTATTTTTCTTCTCCTTCATGTCTCATTTCGCATGTATTATGTTCTGTGTCACGAATAAGGTCCTCTATAAAAACGAAATGCGGAAATTCGGTGTTTGGAGATGATCCTTAGAACGCCGCAACGGCTGTAACGTTAGCGGAGGCGTAAATACGTTTTTGAGACGTCTCGACATTCAAGTACCAGCTCTGTGCGGCCCGCTTTCCTCTCTCGCTCTCCCCCTCTTCGTGACACTTCCTTTCCGTCTTCTTGCCTCTTGACACAGTATTTCCCTTTCTTTGCTCCGCTTCCCTGCAATTCTCAAATATGCTGGTTCTTAAGACCTTCTTAAAATAAAACGGGTTCTCCCTTCCCCAGCTGTCTCTTCCGCGCTGCACTGACGACTCCCCCTTCCGCGCTTCACTGACGGTTCTGCCTTCCGCGCTGCTCTGACGGCTCCCCCTTCCGCGCTGCACTAGCGGCTCCCCCTTCCGCGCTGCACTGACGGTTCTGCCTTCCGCGCTGCACTGACGGCTCCCCCTTCCGCGTTGCACTGACGGCTCCCCCTTCCGCGCTGCACTGATGGCCCCCCCTTCCGCGCTGCACTGACGGCTGCCCTTTCCTCGCTGCACTTACGGTTCTGCTTCTGCGCTGCACTACGCGTTCCTCTGACATCTCCCCGTCCGCGTTGCACTGGCGGCTCCCCCTTCCGCGCTCCACTGACGGCTCCGCGTTCCGCGCTACACTGGCTTCTCTCCGTTCCGCGCTGCACTGGCGCCTCCCCCTTCGGCAGTATCCTAGCACCTCATCTTGTGGTTTCTTCCCCAAACTCTTGCCCATCCTCCCACCCACCCTCTTGCACATCCCCTGGCCCAAACCATGATTCGAGGAAGGCGTCGCGAGGAGTTTCCGCATCGCGGAATGGCGAACCTGTTTTTGGATCGGAGGACTTATTTTGTTTCCACTCACTACTTGTCATCATGAATTTGCATGATCGCTTGCTTTCACTCTTATCCACCCTAACCGCCATCAGAGGAAGGCGACGCTGCTGCAGGAGTTCTAGCAGCGCGGCAAGGCGAACCTGTTCCTGGATCAGCGGACTCTTCTGATTTCCTGTTTGTGATTTCTGAATTCGCAACCCCGCTTCCTTTCACCCTAACCGCCAATCAGAGGAAGGCGACGCTGCTGCAGGAGTTCTAGCAGCGCGGCAAGGCGAACCTGTTCCTGGATCAGCGGACTCTTCTGATTTCCTATTTGTGATTTCTGAATTCGCAACCCCGCTTCCTTTCACCCTAACCGCCAATCAGAGGAAGGCGACGCTGCTGCAGGAGTTCCAGCAGCGCGGCAAGGCGAACCTGTTTCTGGATCGGAGGTTTGGCGAGGGCGACGAGTCCATTCCCGAGGGCGAGAAGGCCATTGTGCGGTTTCAGAAGGAGCGCATGGTACGTCGTCGTGATGTGGCATGCCGGTAACGGGTATAATTATGAGTTGACATGTCATGGTACTGTAGGCATAACATGGTGCTGTATGAAGTGTCACTGTTCTGTCTTTTGCTCCTTGGCCCTCCTCCTTTTGTCGGTTCCGTAACTCCTTTCACCCAGGCCCAGCTGAGTCGCAGGAACCGGTTCTCCTTCGGGGATGTCAACCGTGACAGGCGAATCTGCTGTTGTCACTGTTTTGTTATCCGATTCCCATCCCTTTCCCATCCCTTTCCCGTCCGTTTCCCATCTGTTTCTCATCTGTTTCTCATCCGTTTCTCCCTCTATGTTTCCGCCCTCTTCACACCCTGCTGAGTCGCATGAATCAATACTCCCTTGGGGACGACGATGAGATTGAAGACGAATTTGCCATGTGCGTTATATCATAATCACTTTCCGCTCTGTCCCCCACTCCCTCCCCTTCCCCCCCCCCCCCCCCCCCCCCCCCTTGTTTCCCTCCATTGCAGGCCCAGCTGAGTCGCAAGAACCGGTTCTCCCTCGGGGACGACGACGAGAGCGACGACGAGGGGGGGGACGACGACGGAGGCGGAGGAGGAGGCGCGGGCAGGCGCGGCAGCGGCAGGCGGGCGGCGGCGAGCGAGGATGGCGACTTGCGCCTGACGCACGGCGGGCGCGACATTGACGACTTTGACGACTCGGACGTGTCGGGCTTCGGCGAGGACGAGGATGACGATGATGGAGCACGTGAGTTGGTGATGGGAGCGTGTGGGCTGGTGATTGGAGCACGTGAATTATGATGCGACTGTAAGTCAGCTCAAACATTGACTTTGACGACTCGGACGTGTCTGGCTTCGGGGAGGACGAGGGTGACGACGATGGAGCACGTGAGTTGTGATGGGAATGTGTGGTTCACTTCTCTAGACCCAGGAACCAGATTGACGAGTCACATCACAAGGCCCCTGTAACAATAATCATTTTTGCATCCTGTTTCTCATCCGTCTTCCCCGTGTGCCTTTGTCTACCTCCTCCCCTTCCGTGTGCCTTTGCATTCTGTGTGTGTGTGCAGTGGGCGATCAGATTGTGAGCGAGTATCACTTGGTGGTGGCTTCGTTCCCAAGGCCAAGTCGGCCACAGATGCAGATGTGAGCCTCCATGCACCCGCTCGCCCTCTCCCTCTATCTCTCCCTGTCCCCTGTACCCCTCCCCCCCCCTTTCCCATCCCGCTCTCTCCCTCCCTCTCCGTCCCCCCCCCTCCCCCCCCACTCTCTCTCTCTCTCTCTCTCTCTCTCTCTCTCTCTCTCTCTCTCTCTCTCTCTCTCCCTCTCTCTCTCTCTCTCCCTCCCTCTTTCCCTTTCTCTCTGGCTGTGTTGTGTCACACCATGGCCGCTTGTTGTAATTTATTGCTCATCCCAACTCTATTTCCCGTCGTCAGCTTGATGCGACGGCTGAGCAGGAGGGAGGCGAGGAGCAGCAGAAGACCAAGAGGGAGGTGATGGAGGGGGTGATGGAGGAGGTGATGGAGGAGGTGATGGCGAAAAGCAAGTTGTTCAAGGCGAAGCGGCAAACGGCGGAGGAAAATAAATGCACTGTTTTATTTCACTCAACCCAACCCAATCCCTTCGTTTGCCGTTTCTTTCTCCATCTGGTCAGCTTGACGCGGAGGAGGCAGAGGGGCAGCAAGGCGAAGAGCGGCAGAAGACGAAGCGTGAGGTGATGGAGGAGGTGATGGCGAAGAGCAAGCTGTTCGAGGCGAAGCGGCAGGCGGAGAAGAATGAAACCCCCTGTTTTTCTCACTTAACCCAATTCAATCCCTTCGTTTGTCCGTTTTTTGTTCCGCATGGCCAGCTTGATGTGGCGACAGGACAGGAGGAGGGAGGAGAGGAGCGGCAGAAGACGAAGCGTGAGGTGATGGAGGAGGTGATGGCGAAGAGCAAGCTGTTCAAGGCGAAGCGGCAGGCGGAGAAGGAGGAGGACGAGCAGCTGCGCGAGCAGCTGGACGCGGACTTCCGCCAGATCGCGCACACAGACGCGCTGCTCGCGCTCACGCGCGCGCCCAAGGGGGGGAAGGGCGGAAAGGGCGCCAAGGGGGAGGAGAAGGTGGGAGGGGGAGGCGGAGAGGGAGGGGCGGCGGGAGGAGTGTCTGCTGCTGCGTCGGCAGGTGGCGCTGGTGCTGCTAAGGCTGCTGGTGGCTCGCTGCTGGCTGCGGACGTGGCTGAAGAGGTGCGTATGCCATGACTCGCTGCTGCTATTATTTCTGCTGCTGCTGCTGCTGCTGCTGCTGCTGCTGCTGCTGCTGCTGCTGCTGCTGCTGCTGCTGCTGCTGCTGCTGTGTATCCGGTACTGTTATTCCTTGTCCTCACTGCTGGGCGGCAGGAGATGGACGACATGCAGTATGATTTGCTGGTGCAGAATTTGGTGTTTGACATCCCTCTTTCTTCCACTTTTCAATCTCTTTCTCGCTGCCCAATATTTGATTCAGGAGATGGACGACAAGCAGTACGACGTGTTGGCGAGGGAGATGGTGTTTGACATCCGCGCCAAGCCCTGTTACTCCGTACCCTCTCCCCTATCCCACCCCTGTCTCAAATCTTCTTCAGGAGATGGACGACAAGCAGTACGACGTGTTGGCGAGGGAGATGGTGTTTGACATCCGCGCCAAGCCCTGTTACTCCGTACCCTCTCCCCTATCCCACCCCTGTCTCAAATCTTCTTCAGGAGATGGACGACAAGCAGTACGACTTGTTGGCGAGGGAGATGGTGTTTGACATCCGCGCCAAGCCCTGTTACTCCGTACCCTCTCCCCTATCCCACCCCTGTCTCAAATCTTCTTCAGGAGATGGACGACAAGCAGTACGACTTGTTGGCGAGGGAGATGGTGTTTGACATCCGCGCCAAGCCCTGTTACTCCGTACCCTCTCCCCTATCCCACCCCTGTCCCATGTCTTCTTCAGGAGATGGACGACAAGCAGTACGACGTGTTGGCGAGGGAGATGGTGTTTGACATCCGCGCCAAGCCCTGTTACTCCGTACCCTCTCCCCTATCCCACCCCTGTCCCATGTCTTCTTCAGGAGATGGACGACAAGCAGTACGACGTGTTGGCGAGGGAGATGGTGTTTGACATCCGCGCCAAGCCAGGGGAGCGCACCAAGACAGCGGAGGAGGCGGCAGAGGCGGAGAGGGCTCGACTGGTGAAGCTGGAGGTGAGATTTCCATGTGTCTGCGCGCAGCGATTGCCTGTTCTGCTCCCGTGCGTTGTGCCTTTTGACTTGACTCCAAAATAACCTCTTTTCGTTTCCTTGTCTGATGTGAGTGGCTTCCCTGTTTGTCTTTCGAGTCGAACTTAAAGTCAACCTTTTTTCGTTTCCTCATGTGTTGTGATTTTATTGCCCTATTTCCTGGTGCCTTATGCGCCGCAGGCTGCCAGAAAGCGCCGAATGGATGGGGAACCTAGTGACGACGAGGAGGAGGGAGAGGAAGGGGAGGAAGTGTCTAGTGGGGAAGAGGGCGGGAAGGGGAGGAAGAGGCGCCAGAGGAAGAAGGTGAAGCGGGAGATCTCTGGAGATGATCTGGCGGAGAACTTTGTACTGGAGGAGGATGAGGAGGAAGAGGAGGAGAAGAAGGGGTGGGTGTATGATGTGTTGGGCCAGAAGGAGGAGGAGAGTGGGGAGGGCGAGGAGAGTGAGGATGAGAGTGGGAGTGAGGGGGAAGAGGAGGAAGAGGAGGAGGAGGCGGAGAATTTAGCTGACGTGGATTGGGAGCAGAGTGACGAGGAGATTGGAGGGGAGCGGGTGAAGGGTAAACGAGTGTCTGTGAGAGATGGGGCAGTGAAGAAAGGTGAGGAGGAAAGCGAGGAGGAGGAGGGAGAGGAGAAAGAGGAGGGGGAGGAAAGTGATGAGGAGGAGGAAGCGGAGGAAGAGAAAGAGGGAGAGAAGCAGAATTCGGAGGAGAGAAACTCAGCAGCAACAGCAGCAGAGCAGGAGAATGAGGAGGAGGAAGATGATGAGGAGGAGGAGGACGAGGAGGAAGAAAAGGAGGAGGCGGAGCGCATAGAAAGGGCGTTTCGGCGACGTGAGCTGCCATACGTGATAGAGGCGCCGCAGCAGCTGAAGGACCTGCAGCGGCTGCTAGAGGGGCGTGCAGCGGCGGAGGTGGGCGTGGCAATCGCGCGCATCCGCGCGTGCAACGCCGCGCACCTGTCCCCTGATAACAAGCGCAAGATGCAGATCTTCTATAACGTGCTCCTGCAGTATTTCGCGTCGCTGGCTAGTGATGGTGGCGGCGGTGGGGTGTCTCAGCGGGTGGGGGAGGAGGAGGATCAGCCAGGGAAGAAGCAGAAGCAGCAGCACGAGCAGCAGCAGAAACAGCAAGGGAGCAGGCAGCAGGTGAAGCCGCAAGTGGGTAGGAAGGTAGAGGAGGGGAAGCAGGAAGGTAAAGAGCAAGAGGAGGAGGAGGAGGAGGAGGTGACGAGTGAGTTGCAAAAGAGGGCGCCATCGGTGGCAGCAGCGCACATCAACGCGTTGGTGCAGCCGCTGGTGGAGCTCTCCGCGTCCTTCCCGCTCTTTGCTGCCGTCTGCGCGCGCGAGAGGCTCGCCCGCATGCAGAAACGCCTTGTGGCGCGCCTCAAAGCCGGAGGTATGGTGTGATTTAGTGCGGTGCTGTGCGGTACGGTGTGGTACGGCATGGTACAGTATGGACTGGGGTTTGGAGGCTCTGGTGCAGCCGCTGGTGGAGCTCTCCGCGTCCTTCCCGCCCTTTGCTGCCGTCTGCGCGCGCGAGAGGCTCGCCCGCATGCAGAAACGTCTCGTGGCGCGCCTCAAGGCTGGAGGTACGGTGCGATACGGTGTGGTACGATGCGGTATGGCACGGTTAAGTATGGAATGGGGATTGGAGGCTCTTGTGCAGCGTCTGGTGGAGCTCTCCGCGTCTTTCCCACTCTTTGCTGCTGTCTGCGCCCGCAAGAGGCTCGCCCGCATGCAGAAACGCCTTGTGGCTCTCAAAGCCGGAGGTATGGTGCTGTTCGGTGTTGTATAGGGATGTCGCCTCTTCTGGGGCAGTACCTCCGATGTGGTTTCCCCTCTTTTCCTCACAAAATCCTCTATCCCCCCACCCACCTTCTTCCCCTTCTCCCCCCCCCCCCCCCCCCCCCCCCCCCCCCCATATTCCCGTCCCATATTCCCTACATATTCATGAGCCAGCATGGTCCACAGCCCGCACGACGCCCCTCCTTCGCCTCTGGGCGCTCATCTTCCCCTCTTCTGACTTCCGTCATGACGCCCTGCGATGCCATTCCCTGACCATTCCCTCCCCTCCCCTCCCCGCCGCCCACCCCCTCTTTTTCCCGTTCCCACCTCAGAGCCTGCTTGGCCCACGGCGCGCACGCTGCTCCTGCTGCGTCTTTGGGCGCTCATCTTCCCCTCGTCGGACTTCCGTCATCCCGTCATGACACCCGTCTCGCTGCCCTTCCCTTCCCATTCCCTCCCCTCCGAACCGTCCCCTTGTGTTCGTCTCTCCGCTCAGAGCCAGCATGGCCCACGGCACGCACGCTGCTCCTCTTGCGCCTGTGGGCGCTCATCTTCCCCTCGTCCGATTTCCGCCATCCCGTCATGACGCCCGTGTCGCTGCTGCTCGGCCAGTTCCTCTCCTGCTGCCCTGTGCGCTCCACCAAGGACGTAGCAGCGGGCCTGTTCATATCAGCGCTCTTGCTCAATGTAAGAACTAGCTTCTTCCCCTCTTTCTCCCGCTACTCCTGCTCCTACTACTACTGCTGCTGCTACTCCTGCTGCTGCTCGGCCAGTCCCTCTCCTGCTGCCCCGTGCGCTCCACCAAGGTCGTCGCTGCAGGGCTGTTTATATCTGCTCTCGTCAATGTAAGAACTAGCTGCTCCTGCTGTTTCTGCTCCTGCTTCCGGCTCCTGCTCCTGCTGCTGCTGCTGCCAGTTCCTCTCCTGATGCCTCGTGCAGTCTACTAAGGATGTGGCTCTGCCAACTTAATCCCCCCCCTTTCTCCTATTTCTTTGAAAACCTCTGCTGCTCCTCTAACCGCCACTTAGCTGTCTTCAGTTTTATTCACTGCCCCTACATCTCATCCCACTGTCTCATCGTCATTATTGCCCTCCCCTCTCCTCCCCCTCTCTTTGTTCCAGATGGTGTCGCAGAGCCGTCGTTTTGTCCCAGAGGCGCTCAACTTCCTGCACGCGCTGCTGTGGAGCGCCGTTGCTCTTGCACTCAAACCTTTCTTTCTCCCCTCCAACCCTCCACCTCCCTTCCAGATGGTGTCGCAGAGCCGTCGCTTTGTCCCAGAGGCGCTCAACTTCCTGCACGCGCTCCTGTGGAGTGCTGTCGCTCCTGCGCTCAAACCCGTCAAGCCCAAGGTATGGCCTTCCAGCCTTCCTTACACAGACCTTCCTTACACAGACCTTCCTTACACAGACGGGCTGATGTATGGTGTTTCCTTCCCCCCATAAACAAGCAGACCAGTATGGCTTTTCCTCCTCCGTTTCCCCCTCCGTCATTGTTTTGACACGAGTCATTGACTTCTTTCCATTTCTCCGCCTTCCCCTGCCCCTCCGCCCCTTTCCCCTCCTCCTCCCAGGGAGTGCCGCGTTACATGCTGCTGCAGGTGTGCTCGCAGCAGTGGCTGTGGGCGCCGTGTGGCGACTCCCTAACACCCTCCTCTTGTACCTCCCCCACCGCTCCTCCCCTGTTCCCCTCCCCCTACCCTCCTTCCCCTCCTCCCAGGGAGTGCCGCGCTACATGCTGCTGCAGGTGTGTTCGCAGCAGTGGCTGTGGGCGCCGTGTGGCAACGGCACCAACCACCGCAAGCGCAAGCGCGAGCCGCTGGAAGACAAACCCGAGGCGCTCGACTTCGACCGCATCTTCCTCGGACCGTCCAGCACCGCTCCGACTACCACCACGACCGCTGCTAACCCCTTTGTTTCCACGAATTCTACAGTCGACGCTAACCAATCGCCCTCCGCTTCTCCTGCTGCTCCTCCCACCCTGCTGGGGGTGGAAGGCAGCGCAGCAGGGACCGTGGCAGAGGCTTACTTTTCATCTGACGTCTTTAGGTGGGTTCAGACAGGTTCAGATGATTCAGGTAGGTTGCAGTTTGGTTGTAGTAGGTTTTATCTAGGTTCAGTCCTCTCCCCTGCTTCTCCTGCTGCTCCTCCCACCCTGCTGGGTGTGGAAGGCAGCGCAGCAGGGACCGTGGCAGAGGCTTACTTTTCATCCGACGTCTTCAGGTAGGTTTTGATGGTTTAAGGTAGGTTTAAATCGTTCCTATCTAGGTTTATTTCTCTCCGCTGCTTCCCCTGCTGCTCCTCCCATGGTGTGGAAGGTAGTGCGGCAGGGACCGTGGCGGAGGCCTGCTTTGTTTGGATCCAACGTCTTCAGGTAGGTTGCAGTTTGGTTCTAGTAGGTTTTATCTAGGTTCAGCCCTCGCCCTCCGCTTCTCCTGCTGCTCCTCCCACCCTGCTGGGTGTGGAAGGCAGTGCAGCAGGGACCGTGGCAGAGGCTTACTTTTCATCTGACGTCTTCAGGTGGGTTCAGATGGATCCGTGTAGGTGGTTTAGTGTGTGTTCAGGTGGTTTAGTGTGTGTTCAGGTGGGTTCAGATGGGTCCGTGTAGGTGGTTTAGTAGTGTGTGTTCAGGTGGTTTCAGGCGCCCCCAAAGTCCTTTTCTTTGCTCCTGCCTTTACCTCTTCTCATATTCCCCCACCCCACCCCTTCCAACTATCCTCAACCATTTCCCCGTTCCCCTTTTCCCCTTGCTGAGTCTGCTGCTAGCAGTGCTCCAGACGCTGCTCTCCTTTGCGCTGCTCTACTGCCCCTTGTGCTGCTGTTGTTATTTGTTCCCTTACACCCGCCCACTTCTCCCCCCACCCCTTCCCCCATCCTCTCCATCCCTCCACAACCTCTTCCCCCCCCCACCCACCCACCCCCTCCCAGACTGAGTCTGCTACTAGCAGTGCTCAAGAAGCTCCGCTCCTTTGCGCTGCTCTCTACCGCCGCATGTGTTGCACGTTTGTTCTGCTCATCGGGCCCTCGCAACCCCCCACTCCCTGGCCCCTCCCCGTCCCTTTTCCCAGGCTGAGTCTGCTACTAGCGGTGCTCAAGATGCTCCGCTCCTTTGCGCTGCTCTACCGCCCCATGCAGCCCTTCCCCGAGATCTTCTCGCCCTTCCTGCCCACGCTCGCTGCTGCCCTCCCCTCGTCAAGCCAGGGCAGTTTACAGCTACCGCAGGAGATGGAGCAGAGGCCACTGCCAGACGCTTTCTCTCCCTCTGCGCCACAAAACCCCAAAACCGCTTTTCTTTGCTCTTCCCTTTCCCCCTCCCCATTTCCCCCACCCCATTCTTCCCCCTATCCTCTCCAATCCCTCCTCACCTCTCCAGGCTGAGTCTGCTACTAGCAGTGCTCAAGATGCTCCGCTCCTTTGCGCTGCTCTACCGCCCCATGCAACCCTTCCCCGAGATCTTCTCGCCCTTCCTGCCCACGCTCGCTGCCCTCGCGGAGTCCGGGCAGCTGCCTGTTACCGGAGGCAATAGAACTGAGGCCACTGCAAGACGCTTTCCCTCCGTCCACGCTCGAAATCCCTTTTCTTTTGCTCCTGCGTTTCCTCTTTCACTCCCGTCCGCCAGGCTGAGTCTGCTACTAGCGGTGCTCAAGATGCTCCGCTCCTTTGCGCTGCTCTACCGCCCCATGCAGCCCTTCCCCGAGATCTTCTCGCCCTTACTGCCCACGCTCGCTGCTGCCTTCCCCTCGTCAAGCCAGGGCAGTTTACAGCTACCGCAGGAGATGGAGCAGAGGCCACTGCCAGACGCTTTCTCTCCCTCTGCGCCACAAAACCCCAAAACCGCTTTTCTTTGCTCTTCCCTTTCCCCCTCCCCATTTCCCCCACCCCATTCTTCCCCCTATCCTCTCCAATCCCTCCTCACCTCTCCAGGCTGAGTCTGCTACTAGCAGTGCTCAAGATGCTCCGCTCCTTTGCGCTGCTCTACCGCCCCATGCAACCCTTCCCCGAGATCTTCTCGCCCTTCCTGCCCACGCTCGCTGCCCTCGCGGAGTCCGGGCAGCTGCCTGTTACCGGAGGCAATAGAACTGAGGCCACTGCAAGACGCTTTCCCTCCGTCCACGCTCGAAATCCCTTTTCTTTTGCTCCTGCGTTTCCTCTTTCACTCCCGTCCGCCAGGCTGAGTCTGCTACTAGCGGTGCTCAAGATGCTCCGCTCCTTTGCGCTGCTCTACCGCCCCATGCAGCCCTTCCCCGAGATCTTCTCGCCCTTCCTGCCCACGCTCGCTGCTGCCTTCCCCTCGTCAAGCCAGGGCAGTTTACAGCTACCGCAGGAGATGGAGCAGAGGCCACTGCCAGACGCTTTCTCTCCCTCTGCGCCACAAAACCCCAAAACCGCCTTTCTTTGCTCTTCCCTTTCCCCCTCCCCATTTCCCCCACCCCATTCTTCCCCCTATCCTCTCCAATCCCTCCTCACCTCTCCAGGCTGAGTCTGCTACTAGCAGTGCTCAAGATGCTCCGCTCCTTTGCGCTGCTCTACCGCCCCATGCAACCCTTCCCCGAGATCTTCTCGCCCTTCCTGCCCACGCTCGCTGCCCTCGCGGAGTCCGGGCAGCTGCCTGTTACCGGAGGCAATAGAACTGAGGCCACTGCAAGACGCTTTCCCTCCGTCCACGCTCGAAATCCCTTTTCTTTTGCTCCTGCGTTTCCTCTTTCACTCCCGTCCGCCAGGCTGAGTCTGCTACTAGCGGTGCTCAAGACGCTGCGCTCCTTTGCGCTGCTCTACCGCCCCATGCAGCCCTTCCCCGAGATCTTCTCGCCCTTCCTGCCCACGCTCGCTGCTGCCCTCCCCTCGTCAAGCCAGGGCAGTTTACAGCTACCGCAGGAGATGGAGCAGAGGCCACTGCCAGACGCTTTCTCTCCCTCTGCGCCACAAAACCCCAAAACCGCTTTTCTTTGCTCTTCCCTTTCCCCCTCCCCATTTCCCCCACCCCATTCTTCCCCCTATCCTCTCCAATCCCTCCTCACCTCTCCAGGCTGAGTCTGCTACTAGCGGTGCTCAAGACGCTGCGCTCCTTTGCGCTGCTCTACCGCCCCATGCAACCCTTCCCCGAGATCTTCTCGCCCTTCCTGCCCACGCTCGCTGCCCTCGCGGAGCCCGGGCAGCTGCCTGTTACCGGAGGCAATAGAACTGAGGCCACTGCAAGACGCTTTCCCTCCGTCCACGCTCGAAATCCCTTTTCTTTTGCTCCTGCGTTTCCTCTTTCACTCCCGTCCGCCAGGCTGAGTCTGCTACTAGCGGTGCTCAAGACGCTGCGCTCCTTTGCGCTGCTCTACCGCCCCATGCAGCCCTTCCCCGAGATCTTCTCGCCCTTCCTGCCCACGCTCGCTGCTGCCTTCCCCTCGTCAAGCCAGGGCAGTTTACAGCTACCGCAGGAGATGGAGCAGAGGCCACTGCCAGACGCTTTCTCTCCCTCTGCGCCACAAAACCCCAAAACCGCCTTTCTTTGCTCTTCCCTTTCCCCCTCCCCATTTCCCCCACCCCATTCTTCCCCCTATCCTCTCCAATCCCTCCTCACCTCTCCAGGCTGAGTCTGCTACTAGCAGTGCTCAAGATGCTCCGCTCCTTTGCGCTGCTCTACCGCCCCATGCAACCCTTCCCCGAGATCTTCTCGCCCTTCCTGCCCACGCTCGCTGCCCTCGCGGAGTCCGGGCAGCTGCCTGTTACCGGAGGCAATAGAACTGAGGCCACTGCAAGACGCTTTCCCTCCGTCCACGCTCGAAATCCCTTTTCTTTTGCTCCTGCGTTTCCTCTTTCACTCCCGTCCGCCAGGCTGAGTCTGCTACTAGCGGTGCTCAAGACGCTGCGCTCCTTTGCGCTGCTCTACCGCCCCATGCAGCCCTTCCCCGAGATCTTCTCGCCCTTCCTGCCCACGCTCGCTGCCCTCGCGGAGTCCGGGCAGCTGCCCGAAGAAATCGAGCAGGAGCGGGCAGCGTGGGTGAAGGATATCGAGGGCGCGGTGGCGGAGGTGGAAGGCTCCAGGCAACCGCTGCGGCTGAGGGTGAAACGGGCTGTACCTGCAAAGCAGTTCAACCCCAAGTTCGAATCTGAGTACGTATGGGGATGAGAGGGATAAGGGAGCGCTGTAATGAAATGGTAAGTCTGGGGAATGGTAAATCTGAAACTGGGGAATGGGGGTGAAGCGGCCGTGCCGTGCCGGCAACCCCAAGTTCGAATCTGAGTACGTGTTGGGAATAATAATGTGCGGTTAGGGTCTGATTAGGTGCGGAGATGAGGGATGAGTGAGAGGTAGAACGAAAGGTCTAGTCGGAGGTTTGGGATGCCAGCAAAGCAGTTCAACTCCCTTCCCTTCAACTCCCTTCCCTTCAACTCCCTTCCCTTCAACTCCCTTCCCTTCAACTCCCTTCCCTTCAACTCCCTTCCCTTCAACTCCCTTCCCTTCAACTCCCTTCCCTTCAACTCCCTTCCCTTCAACTCCCTTCCCTTCAACTCCCTTCACTTCAACTCCCTTCCCTTCAACTCCCTTCACTTCAACTCCCTTCCCTCCTCCCTTGGCTTCCCGTGTTTCTTCCCCTATCCTCCCCGCCTTCTCTCCCTGCTTCCCTCCCTCCTCCCCCCCCCCCCTCACAACAAACCGCCCTTTCCAGTTTCGCCCGTGGCAAGGACTACGACCCCAACAGGGAGCGCGCGGAGCAGCGCAGTTTGACCGTTTCCCTGCCACCTTCCCTGTTCCTCTTCCTCCCCCTTCTCCCCTCCTCGTTCCCCCCCTTTCCAGCTTCGCCCTTGGCAAGGACTACGACCCCAACTGGGAGCGTGCGGAGCAGCACAAGTTGACCAATCCCCTCCCCCCCTCTCCCCCCCTCTCCCCCCCCCTCTTCCCCGCCTCCCATTCCCCTCTTCCAGTTTCGCGCGTGGCAAGGACTACGACCCCAACAGGGAGCGCGCGGAGCAGCGGCGGCTGCAGCGGGCGATCAAGCGCGAGGCACGGGGCGCAGCGAGAGAACTGCGCAAAGATAACCAGTTCCTTGCTGCTGCGCGCGCACACGAGGCTGCGAATGCAGCGGAGGAGCGGCGGGAGAAGAACCAGCGGGCCATGGCGTTCATGGAGCAGCAGGCTCATTTGATGTGGTCCGGGCAGCTGGGGCGGAAGAGGGGGGGGGGGAGCAGCGGAAGAGGCAGAAGGTAGACGGGGAGGAAGGGGGTGAGGGGGAATGGCTGTGAGGGCGGATTTGAGGGAGGCTGCTGCTGAAGAGGATGAGCAGCGGGAGAGGCAGGCGTTAGGAGCCAAAAAAGGGGAGGGAGGTGAGGGAAGGGTGTTACAGGGAAGCAGCTGCTGCGTTGGAGGTTTATCGGGAGAGGAACCAGCGGGCCATGGCGTTTATGGAGCAGCAGGCGCACCTCATGTGGTCGCTGCTGCTGCTTCGGAATGCAAGGAATGTCGAGGGGGGTGAAAGTGGATGCCACATGGGGAGAACATGGGCGTGGGAAGCGGAGATGTGACTGGGCATGTGAAGGTGATGCGAATCTGACCTTTTGACTTGTGCATGGGTGCACTGGAGCTAACTTTCTGGCGTGTGTGACTTGTGATGACGAGCAGACGCAGCAGGGTGCGTGTGGGTGGAATGCCAGTGCCTTGTGCATGTCAGTGCATGGGTGGCATGTATTGGAAAGTGGGTGTGTGCCTGCATGTATGCGCGCACACGTGTTTGAGAATGTGTGTGCGGATGTGTCTTTGTGCACGTTTGCTTGTTTGACTTTGGTTGCCCAAAAAAAAAAAAAAAAAAAAAAAAAAGGGGGGGGGGGGTTATGGCACACTAACTTTTGGCATTGCTGTGTGGTATGACTTAAAGAGAGGCTGTGGCGGGTGAGGGTGATGGTGAATGGCTGGGTGAAGAGAGTGGGGACAGTGTGTGCAGGGCCTGGGTGCAAACAACAACGGCCTTTGAGGCTCTTCAAAAAGATTGCAGCCTCAAAAAGAGGCTGACCGGGGGGTGGTGATGGCAGATGGCTGGGTGCAGACAGTGGGCAGGTGTGCAGGGGCTGGTGCAATGGAAGCAGTGGATAGACATGCAGGGAGCATTATGCAGCAGGGGCGGACTTTTGAGTTGACTCCAGATTTTGAGTCGACTCAAAGGTATGCAGGGACTGGTGCAATGCAACCAGTGAAGGCAGTGGACTGGCATGGAGGGAGCATCACAGAGCAGAGACGGGCAGAGGAGGCAGTGTGCAGCAGAGGAACAGGGGAGAAGGAAGGAGCATCTGTAGGGAGTGCGCGGAGGGAGCATGGAGGGATTTGAAGTGGCGGTGGCATGGAGGGCACTGCAACGCGCGAGAGCTGGGTTTAGAAGCAGCTTGGACCGGCAAGGGTCCGAGGATCCGAGGGTCCGAGGGTCCTGCATTGAACACCATGGCTGTGCAGAGTGGCCAGTGCAGGGGCAAAGGAATTACACACCACGCAGATGTTACACTTTCCCCTGTGTGGGACAGGAGGGCAGGGGGATGGCTGGTGTGACGTGAAATGGCATGGAGTGGCTAGACTTTCTTGTTGCTGTATAAGAGTGCATGTCCTGTGTCGCTGTGCTGATGCAGGTGCCTGGCTGTGTGCAGTGCAGTGCCAGGGCCCCTCCAGCTTGCCTGCTGCTGCTGCTCTGCTGCTGCAGGTTCCCACCTTTGTTTTTTTCTTTTCTTTTCTGATGAGGCCACGCAGTGATCGTATGTGGTACCTGCTGCTGTGGCTGGGACTTGTGTCCTCTTGGGCATTTTGGTCTGTAGATGATGCTGTGCCCAAATTGCTCTGCTGCTGCTGGGTGTGTATACACCTTGGAGTGTATGAACACCCAGCAGCTCGCTCAATTTCTTGCTCAGACTACACGCATGGTATTGTGCTAGTTCCTTACTGAACATTTACTGCCTTATGTTGAGTGTATTTACTCTCTCACGCTATGCGTTATCAAGCTATTTGGTACGAAATTGTGACTCTTTCACTCACCTGTCCATCTGCCATTGCGTTGGTCCAATAGCGCGTCTGTTCTGCGAGGTCCGACCTTTTCAGCACCGACCTGCGTTCCAGCTCGAAGACGCGTTTCGTTAGATGGTCAAAGGTATGGAATAACCACAGGCGAGTACAGTACACAGAACCAGTCGTCGCACCCTTTCGTGCGTGGCGGAGACGCGACGTTGACCGAGTCCACGATTGCCCGTTCCGTGGGTCAGCTGAAACTGGATGAATACACTGTACCGTCACTACACCTGCCAGCGTTTAGCAACTTTCCTCCACCTTTGGTGAATTCCTGGGCAATGAAAAACTACCCGTCTTTGCCCTGCATGCGAGGATTTCAACCCTCAGCTTTCCTAACACATTCCTCCCCTCCCCACCCCTCACCCGCCACGTGGCGGTTGGATTGAAATCACATCTGCGCTCACGACCCCCGCAAGCCTCATGCCCTCTTCGCGCCCGCGCCCCTCCCCCCTCACCCTCACCCTCGCCCACCCGTTGCTCCACCTTCCCGCTGTCGAAATTCTGTTCCCCGACTGCCCCCTTCCCCCCTCCTCCCTCCAATCCAGAAATTCTCCGATTTTCTCTCGCACCGCAGTAACCGCCGCTGCCACTTACCCAACCTCCGCGTCGCGTGACTCGCACAACGCACACCCTTCGGGTCGGGGGGAACAATTCTGCGCACAGCAAGCTGCGGAAACCCTGTCTTTTACAGCGCCAATGAGCGAGTGTGGGAAAGCAGTTTAGCCCCCTCTCTCTTCCCCCACCTCCTCCCTTCCCTTCTGAGCTCCGCCCACCACTTACAGTACGGCACGGCGCAACTACAGCTGCTCCCCCCCGCTCAACCTCGATTCAGCAATTTCCCCCGACGACCATTCCTGGATGACCATTGGCGAAATCGCGCACATCGGCGGAAATCGTGTTTGTCTCAAAAGAATCGACCCAAATTGCTCCCCGCTCGCCACGTGGGCGTTTTTCTCAATTGATTCGACCCCCTTTCCCCCCGCCCCCCCACCCCGTTTTTCCCGCCCTTGCCCTCCGAAATTCGGGCACCCGCTGCAAATTCGTGAAATCACAAAACGTCACGAATACATGTTTTTTCGTAACCCCAGGATTTCAACATGCGAGCGACATCTGATTGGACAGAACACCTATGACTTCTAATGATAAATTTAGCAGTAATTTGGATTTTTATTTATTATGTGCCACTGCAGTAACATTTTTTGAATCTTTGTAATACGAGTAAATGTTGTTTTCTAAATAATATCAAGAAGTAAAATAGAAAAACCACCTATTTCAAAAACATATTTTTTTTATTTTGCCCTGGAGTGATTCCTATTTGAAATTTATGAAATTTAACTCTTAGTTTTAAGAATTCTGGAATAAGCATCATATATATACATAAAACCCATAAAAATTATAGGTTTTTTTGTCGTGTGTTTTTTTGAGCCCCTAACTACATTAATGGCATGGGCTAATCCAAAAAAATACGATACAATCAACGTGCATATGTTGCTCCTGAGATTGAGAAGCAACCGCTGAAATTGTCGATTGCGAAAGCTGATGTGGCATCCCACAACTACATGGTGGATTTGGCGTTACGAAAAAGCATGTATTCGTGACTTTTTGTGATTTCACCAAATTCCAGCCGGTGCCCGAATTTCGGAGGGCAAGGGCGGGAAAAACGGGGTGGGGGGGCGGGGGAAAGGAGGGTCGAATCAAATGAGAAAAACGCCCACGTGGCAAGCGGGGAGCAATTTGGGTCGATTCTTTTGAGACAAACACGATTTCCGCCGATGCGCGCGATTTCGCCATGACCACTCCTTGCAAATACATTCCGTCCAATTTCTATCGTATCCCATCCCATCCCGTACCATACCATCCCATCCCTTCCCATCCCATCCCATCCCAACCAATCTCAAACCTTTCCCGTTCCCGTCCTTCAATCACGCGTCAGTCCCTCTCGCCTCCACACCGGAAAACCTCTTACGTCTGACTTTTTCGTCTACTCCAGCAACGTCCTTCTCGTTACAAATTGCATTGCTTCCACAACCCATCAGCAGCACGCCTGACAAAGCGAAAACAGACCAAAACATCATCCTCTACTTCCGAATTCCCCTTCACACCCGAACCAAGTCGCCTTTCTTTTTCTACGCCTCATTTCCCTTCCAATGTACGGCCCTCCGCCAACGACTTGCCGACAGTCCTTTTTCCTCAGTAATCGTCCTTCCTCTAGTGCGTAAGGCAGAGTCGGTCCCTAGTGTGTAACGTTGAGGCGCCGCTTCAAGCCCTTTCTTTCCCGCTCTGATAGCGGTGGTCCAGGCGACTCAATGCGTAACGCAATGCGTAACGCAATGTGTAACGTAGCTGCGTCGTTTCGGACCCTTTCCTCCTCGCACAAGTAGCACTCGTCGGCCATGCCCCCCTTCGGTCCGCTCGTTTCCGATTCGCTCGCTTTCCAGCCTCACTTTGCCCCCTCCTGCAAGGGTTGCAGCTTCCGTGTCACCATAGCGAGTTAACTTTTGAGGCGCCTCAGAATTAGGCTCTATGATGCAGCTAGTTGCTCAACTAGCAAGCTGTGCTCTGCTGCGAGATCTCTGACACGCACGCACACGCAACTAGTCGCTCGCGTTTCAGCAAGCACCCGTAAACGAGCTGAGAAACACGCCACAATCCGCGACGTGCTCCTTTGAGAATTCTCAGAGATTCGCACATGGCCTCTCAAATCCTCGCCAGTCGTTCTCAACGACTCGGAGACGACTTTCCTCTCGAAGACGATTTCAGAACCGCGCCGCGGCATAGCAGCAGTATGAGAGAGTTTAATCATACCAGCGACACCATGTCCTCCCGAATCCTCGCCGATACTCGTAGCAGTCATCCAAGTTCGAGTCGCAGTTCTGGAAGATCAAATCGCCCAGTGCTCGATTTCCCGCGCGCCGCGACCACCCGTTGCCACGTCAGCATGCTTCTCGACCAGTTGGAGGAGCGATGCCGCCTCGCGGCGCAAACGCGGCAGCGGTACTACCGAAGCTCGAGTTGCACCCGCGACGCGCCGCCGAACCAGCAGATCCAACCGTATCACTACCCGCCGAGCTGGCGGGAACCGTGGCTCGTTGGTAGCTTCGGGCCGAGGCTGGAGGCACGGTTCGAGGTCGGGGAGGAGCTGGGGCGCGGTCATTTCGGCGTGGTGCGCGCGTGCCGGGAACGGGGCAGCGGGGCAACGTTTGCTTGCAAGACTATCAGCAAGGAGTTGCTTCAGGTACGGCTATCATTCTCGCTTCCCCGCCATCATTCATCCTGTGACTGTCTCGCCCAGTTCTACTATTAGGTCTCTGCCCACTTGCTCTCTCGCTCTGTCGGTTCCTGTTTGTTCTTCCTTGCCCCGTCCCATGCTGTGCGCTCAGGGCTCTCGGGAGATGGAGGAGCTGCGCGTCGGGGCGCTGACGCCGCTGTTGAGAGTGCTGAAAGCGATAAAACGACTCACCACTAAGAACCGATTCTCCTTGCCTCGTGCTGTGCTGTTCTGTTTTCTCAGGGCTCGCGGGCGATGGAGGAGCTGCGCGCCGAGGCGCTGACGCCGCTGCTGCTGCAGCAGATGGCGGAAGAGGAGGAAGACGAGAGAGCAAGAGATGGTGAAGAGGTGGAAACAGTCAACTCAGTCAACCCAGTCAACAGCAGCAGCAGCAGCAGCAGCAGCAGCAGCACAGGGAGGTCTCCCTGGGAGGGCCTGGTGCGTCTACATTCAGTGTACGAGGATAACTCGGGGGTGCACCTGGTCATGGACCACTGCAGCGGAGGAGACCTGTTTGACCTCGTTGACCGCTACGCTGAGTCAGCAGGCATGCCCGAACAGCTGGCGGCGGCTGTCGTGGGCCAGCTGGCTGCCACGCTGGCGTGGATGCACTCTGTGGGGGTGGTGCACCGGGACTTAAAGCCCGAAAACATCCTGCTGGCTCGGCCATTCTCAGGGGACGCGAGCAGCTTACCGAACCTCCACCTCTGCGTCGCCGATTTTGGTCTGGCAAGGCGGTTGGCCCCTGGGGAGCACCTGACAGGCTTGGTAGGGAGCCCTTTTTACTTGGCCCCTGAGGTCGTGAAAGGTCACCTGTACAATCACCAGGTGGATGTGTGGAGCCTCGGGATTATCATGTACACGTGCCTTTCAGGGAAGCTTCCCTTCCATGGCCCGAACCACAACGCTGTGTTTGCTGCGGCGTGCCGGGCGACGCCGGACCTGGTCTCACCGGAGCTGTGGGGCGGGGTTTCTGCCGAGGCTAAGGATCTGGTTCGGAGGATGCTGGAGAAGGAACCTGGGAGGAGGATGAGGTCTTGTGAGATTCTTTCGCATCCGTGGTTTGAAACGGTGGGGAGGAGAAACCTGTCAAGAATTGGGCTTATGACAGAAGTGCCTGCTTTTGGGATTGCCAACAGCAGTAGCACGGCTGCTTTGGAGTCGAGCGGCAGAACAGCAGTACAGGCAGCAGCAGAAAAGGCGTCAGCACTAGCAGCAGCAGCAGCACAACCAGCAGCAGCAGAATACTCCTTGTACCGTCCTGCAGCTCCAAGTGACGATCTGCCTCTGATCAACACAGAAGCGCAACGACCCTTGTTCCTGCCGTGGACTGGCGTTGACTGCCGTGGACTACCGTGGAATGGCGTTGACTACAGCAGCACTGGTGCAAGTGGCAGCGGCACAGCAGGGAGTGTGACTGCAGCGAATGTGGCTGTGAAGAATTCTCCAATAGGAGGCATGAGCAGCCCAAGCATTCTCCAATCCCAACCTTGGCATTCAATCCAGTTGAGTCAGTTCCAGCCTGCATCAAGTCAACCAAGTCAACCCACTGCATCACATCAATCCAGTCAACCCAGTCAACCTAGTCAAGCCAGTCAACCTAGTCAACAGGATCAGTCTTCCTGTGCTCAAGACACCATTGCCACCCTTCACCTCACTACCACGCCCACTCCCCAAGTAACTGCCAACACTGTAGCAGATCCCAACCACATCACCACCCCTCCCCAAGATCACATCACTGCAGCTGGTACCACTTCTTCCCATTCTCCCATGCCCCCCCGTCCTACACCCGCTCGCCCCCTCTCCATCTGTCCCCCTCCCCCTCCTTCCCCTCACACCCTCGCCACCTCCACTACTCCTACTCCCCGCACGCCCTCTCGCGCTCTCTCCGCCCGTCCGCGCAAACCAGCCAACCAATCACCACGCCCGACCGCTCCTTCCCCTCCAGCCCTCCCCCCCTCGCTGCTGAGTCAGCTCCGGGCTGACAGGGTGGCGGATCTGATGCGGCTGTTCCGAGCCTGCCAGGCTGGCAGCTCTGATGACGTGGCGAGGTGTCAAGGCAGTACTAGCCCAGCAGTCAGTACAGTGCACGTGGAGCAAATTAGAACATAGAATCAGCTTGAGTGTAAATCTGTCCCCATAATTAGCTATGATGCTGATTCACATTGTTCCAAAACAATTTGCTGCTAGATTGAGTGATGGGTGCAAGAACATTTGCTGGAAATAAGCAAATAATAAATGCTGATAGGATAGGAACTATGGTGAACAGTACAATAAGAGCTCGATATCTTATTTCCATACTAGTTTACGTAGATGTTACCCATGCAGAAAAGTGTGCCGCCAAGTAAGAATCGCCCATAACGTGTCACGATGAACTGAGCATGACGCCGGAGAACAGCGAAGCCCTTCGGAAGAATCGAAGCCCGAACTAACGCCTTACGGAACCGCTCTCTAACGCGGATGAACGCGAACTCTGCTCAGACTGGAACCTTGGTTGCGCCGATCCACGACTGGAGCTGGATGAAACTATTGGGGTTGTACTGGCTGACGTCACCGGCTGACGTAACGCCCGGCTTGGCCCACTTGACGCGCGACGGCTGCGCGCCGGGTCCCTTGCTGTTGACCTCCGCGAGGAATGGCTTTCCGCCGTACGTCTCGCCGGCCCACGTCATCCAGCCGTCAGGAACAATTTTCTGCGCGAGTGGGGAACGGAGGGGGGGGCAAGAGCGGACGGCTAAGAAGATTGCATGCTATGCATGAGTGCGGAATTTTGCAGTGCGTGCACACACCAAGCGTTTGAGTCGACTCATGCTGTGCAAGACAGACACCAAACTCTCAGTTTAAATGCGTCTCGGTGATATCGAATCAAACCCGGTTGTCAACGAAGTGTTGACGATGACACCGTCCCGTCAACGAGCTTCTAACGGAGCTGGTGCATAGCTTACATTCGGGAGAAACGTGTTGATATACACCGACGTCGCGTAGGTCTTCCACGGTCGCCCGAGGTACACGCGCGGCGCGAACGACACCACGCGAGAGTCCATGACGACAATCCCGGTGTTGGACGTCTTGCTTAGGCGACCCGACGCGGTGATTGTCGCGTCGTACGGCGTCGAGACGACTTTCAATTGCGAACTGCGAATCACAACCGCCGCGTCGCCGAACACGAAATCCACAGCCCCGTCGATGAAACAATTCGTGTAGTACTGGCGACCCGTGCTTGCGAACAGGGTGTCTTGGAATCCTGAGATTCGCAGCTGGTAAAACGCGGCTTGGTCGCTGTCGACACGGAGCGCCACGGCCTGCTGACCGTCCATGCCAGCAGAATTCCGAATCGTCATGCTCATTGCAACGAAATTATCCGCGTTGACTCCTGCCACATGTAACATTTGCGAAAGAAACCAGGTTAGCACTAAAGAATGGGTCGAGGTGTACATGTAGCTGTACACTGAAACTGAAATGGAATTTTGTGCAAGATTGATACGAAAGATGCGAAGCACTTACCGACTGTGGCCGAGGTGATGATATCGTAACCCGACTTCTGGCTGGCATCGTTCACGATAACCGTCTGATCCATGCCAGCACCAATCATCGTGATGCGATCCGTGCTGACCTGGATCTGCTCATTATACACTCCCGCCTTGATGCGAATCGTCGAACCTGGTCCAGCCGCGTCTACAGCGTCCTGAATCGACTTGTAATCTCCGCTGCCATCCGTCGCTACAACCACGTTGATCGCCTGAGTCGCTCCGACCTTCGCCTTCTTGCCCGATTTCTTGCCCTTGCCGCCGGAGTTCGACGAACCACCCGAAGAATTCTTGTCCTTCTTGTTCTTCTTGTTCTTCTTGTCCTGCTTATTGTTGTTGTTGTTATTATTGTTATTGTTGTTGTTGTTGTTGTTGTTGTTGTTCTTGTTGTTCTTGTCTTTATGATCAAGAGTTACCACGAGCTTCTGGCCGCCGTTTCCGCTTCCCGGCTCCGCCGGCACGGCCTGGGTGACGGCGAGGCTAGAAGGTTCCGCATCGAAACGCAGACGAGTGATGGCGTGGATCTGCTGCTGGCGCCACGTGGCAAGCAGGGAGAGCAGCTGGTTGAACTTCGGGGTCATGGACGCGACCTCATCGCGTATGGCCGAGAGCTGCTCGGATTGCTGGGTCTGAGGGTTTCTGTTGAGCACCATCAGCAGCGTCTGCTGGTTGGAATACGCGCGATTCACGTTGCGAGTCGCGTCCTGAAGCTGCTGCGTGGATCGCGGGCGCGTGCGGTACATGTCGACCAGATCCTTGATCGCCCAGACCATGCTCTTGCTGATCAGTAGCGACTGAAACACACAACAGGAATCAGGGAGAAAAGGAAGCATATGAACCGCAAGCGGTTGACGAGACGAGCCGATTATGACCACGACTCATGTAATAACTCGAAAGGCTATTAGGTTCTGAACCAACTCGATCTTGAATTGACCGTAACATGTGTTACATGCGTAACTCGCACGCGGCGATTTTCACTCCACAGTGAAAAGCCACGTGAATCCCTATCTTGCTCGCTTAGAGTGGGCCTCATTAGATGCCCACTCAAAGTGGTCTAAAGAGAAAATATATGCGTACCTGTGTGAGAATGGAGCCGAGGACCACCCAGCCCGCCCCATTTGTCGCCTGGGTTCGGACCGTTCCCACATCCCCCTGCAGCGATTGCGCCAACTGGATCGCAACAGGCGTCGCGCCGCCGCCCAGCAAGTTTCGCCGAAGCGAAAACTCATCGCCGACGATCGTGGGGGTACTGGTGGTCGCAGAGGGGGTGAGGTCGAAATCGACGGGCTCGCCTTGCAGGACGAAGGCGCAGACGGAGATATTGTGAGCAGCAGCGGCTGAAGCTGCGTGCTCGCCGAAGTCCTCGCAGAGAATGAATCCAGTTTCTACTTGCACATCGTCGGCAAATGCTACGGAGAATGCTAGGCAACACAGCAGAACGGACAGGCACGCAGTCGCCGAACGAGCGAACGGCCCCATGGTGCTGGGAAAATGATGAACACTCTAAGGGTAAAACGCACGCAAGCAATGGTGGCGAACTAGTGAGAGAGGCGAGGGACCCTAACAGCAGCTCGGTGTATGGGCCAGCACCTAGCTGTTTGAAGACCGAGCAACAATGCCCATAATATGAAGCATTGCATTTTGGTCGGTGAGTAGGGTGGACGGGGTGAGCTGTGGGATGCTGCTGTTTTGTGAGGTTGGGCGGGAGGGGGAGGTGCAGGCAAGCTTCAGCCAGGAGGACGAGCAGTGCAGTGTCACTTTCCACGTTCCACGTTTCTCAGTGGCTGGTCGAGTTCATGATTTCGCAACATCGAAACACTATTACGGTAACCATCTTCGTCCGTGGCCAATTTGCCACTGACGACGTTCGCCGGCAATAACGAGCCGCGGTTATACCTCTCATCTACGTCAAATTCAGGAATCTCGACTTGTGGGACATTTCGAGCCGCCGAGTGTGATCGAAGCGCAAATGCACGAAAAACAAGCTCCATGAAAGCGATTCGAACACATGTTCGGGTCAGAGCTCGTTCAGCGGCGCATCCAATGGGGTCGCGTGCTCAAGAAAACGACCTGTTTGATTGGTTTGAGAAATCGGCGACTTTGACGTTTCATCGCTAACACATGTTACGCAAGCAACTAAACGAGCGTGTATACTGGCTCTTGCGGTCACGATAGAATCGTGAGCGCTTCGAATCAAGGGCTTGCGCTTGAAGGGTAGCAAGCCATCCTGACTGGTTGAGAGTAGGGCTGAGATTCTGATTTGAAGGGTTTTCCTGGATACAGTCTGAGTTGCCCAATCACAAACTGAAATTACGACGTTTAGGGTCAAGGAGAGTTCAATCGCAAGGACGTTTTGGACCTTCTTCGGGTCCACTGTTTTCACCATGTAATGACATAATCCATTCAGGGGTAACAACATCCAAAACTCGACCACCCCAGTGCTGAGACCCTGTCCACATTCGCACAACTGCTGAACAGAAACAGGCTGCATTGCAATCACTTCGGCTAAAATCAGGGCGAATTCGAATTTGATATGGCGCAGCCCATGCCCCAACACCCACCCAGGAGCACCCCGCAAACCCAGCCCAACAAATCAATGTAGAACACTATAACCCAGCAAGAATAATTGGAACATTACACTCAATCATATCCTTCATCTTACAACTAGTCTTGTAAACAAATAGAGACGCTGTTTTGAGCCGCCTTGAAATTACTTTGTTTAGAACCATAAAACACAGCAACCAACTACTCGAACAGTACTTGAGTGGTCCTACCACTTGTCACAAGGGCAGTACAAGTTAATCACCTGGCCAGCTCGGGAAACGCCCCTGACAAAGCATCCTTAATCTCTCCCCACTCCTCCATCATCTCCTCGTCATAAGCCACGGAATTCTCTGGCGGCGTGGCAAAGGTGCCGAGCTTGCTGCGCCAGAAGTCGTCGCGGAAGGTGAGGAAGTTGAAGAGCTGCTCCACCTCCAGCACCTCCCACGGACGCAGCCCCGGGATGCGCTGCGCCAGCTTCTTCCTGTTGAGAGAAAAAAGGCAAGGAATGCAATGGAAAACAGGGAATGGGGAAGCCCGGGTCAGAAATTGGCTGTGCCAGATTTCTCCTTCAATCTGGGAGCATGATAGAGAGGGAGTGAGGGAGGGAGTGAGGGAGGTGGTGAGGGAGGTGCCGAGCTTGCTGCGCCAAAAGTCGTCGCGGAAGGTGAGCAAGTTGAAGAGCTGCTCCACCTTCCGCGGGGTGCGCTGACCCCGGGGTGCGCTGGCCCCGGGGTGCGCTGCACCAGCTTCTTCATGCAAGCAGGAATTAGGAAGTGGGGGATTTTGGGAATGGAAATGGGGAATGTGTGGTGAAGGGTGTGCTATTACAGTTTTCATGGTCGCTCTTTCCAAGAAAACAGGCGGAGATTGGGATGTACTAGATGTTTCTTTCAATCTGGGACCACGATATGGAGCAGGGAGTGAGGGAAGGTGCCGAGCTTGCAGCGCCACAAGTCGTGGCACAAGGTGACTAAACAGCAAAGGCTTTTCCAAGACTCACCTCTGCTCGTACGAGATGAACTTGCTCGGAAACTTCTGGGGCTTCTGGTCAAGAACTTTCGTGAGCTCGCTCCCACTGGCCCACAGGAAGAGCGCGTGTGAGGGGGCCTGGTAGCCCGGCCACGCTCCCCCGTGGTTCTTCAAGGCAGCGCGCTCCCTCTCCTTGTCCGCCAGTGCCTCTGCCCCACAACTTCCCCCCCTCTTCCCCTCCCTTTCCCCCTCACCCCCCCGTTTCTCAGCCGACTAAAAACCGTCACAGTCTCACTCACCTCTGCTCGTAGGAGATGAACTTGCTGGGAAACTTCTGGGGCCTCTGGTCAAGAACCTTAGTGAGCTCGCTCCCACTGGCCCACAGGAAGAGCGCGTGTGAGGGGGCCTGGTTGCCCGGCCACGCTCCCCCGTGGTTCTTCAAGGCAGCGCGCTCCCTCTCCTTGTCCGCCAGAGCCTCTGCCTGGCGCTCCTCCAGCGATCGCTTGGCGCCTTCAAAGCCCTTCTTCACCTTGAGAGGGTTCATGCCCCTCCCGATGCGGTGCAGCATGGCCGTGCCTGCTGTCGCCAGGCGCACTGGTGGGTTCGGAAGAAGCGGCAGCAGCAGCAGCGGGGGGGGGGGGGGGGTGGGGGGTGGAAGGGGAAACAGAGGGCGAAAAGGGGCGACGTTCAGGATTATTGCACACTCACCATCGGGCATGTCAATGGCCTGCTTCAGCCTATACACGGCATCAATGGGAACAAACTCGTCCATGTCCCTTTACTCAACTCAACACCACTCTCCACCACTCATTAACGCGCTCAATCACGCACCATCAGGGGTATCAATGGCCTGCTTCAGCCCATACACGGCGTCAACGGGAGCAAACTCGTCCAAGTCATCGCCCCACACGAAGGTGTTGCCATCGATGATCCCTGCGGCCCACACCCCATGCCGTGCGCTGTGCACTGCTTACTGTTGCCTGTTGTTGCATTCACCATCAGGAGTATCAATGGCCTGCTTCAGCCCATACACGGCATCAATGGGAGGAAACTCGTCCATGTCATCGCCCCACACGAAGGTGTTGCCGTCAATGATCCCTGCTGCCCACACCCCAAGCCCTGCCCTGTGCCCTTGGTTCCCTGCTGTTGCCTGCTGGTGCCTACTGTTCCCCACTCACCATCAGGAGTATCGATCGCCTGCTTCAGCCCATACACGGCATCAATGGGAGCAAACTCGTCCATGTCATCACCCCACACGAAGGTGTTGCCATCGATGATCCCTGCAGCCCACGCCGTGCGCAGGTTGATCACCTCGCAGGGGCCGCGCGTGCGACCGAGCCGGTCCTTGTAATACCACGTGCTGCCACGCAGGGTGACTGGGGGAGGAGGGGTTGGGGGAGGGGGAAGAGAGGAAAGGGGGTGGGAGGACGGTGTGCGCGAGCAGAAAGGAGGAGAAAAAGTGAACTTTGAACGGGGATCAAGCGTCGTCCCACAGGAAGGTGTTGCCGTCGATGATCCCTGCAGCCCACGCGGTGCGCAGGTTGATCACCTCGCAGGGGCCGCGCGTGCGCCCCAGGCGGTCCTTGTAATACCATGTGCTGCCACGCAGGGTGACTGCAAAGGGGGGGAAGGAGAGACGGATTGCGTAGGCAGGTTGGCGTATGAAAGCAAGTCACCTCGCAGGGCCCCCGAGTGCGCCCTAGGCGGTCCTTGTAATACCACGTGCTGCCACGCAGGGTGACTGGGGGAGGAGGGGGTTGGGAGAAAGGGGGGTGGGAGGGGAGGGCAACAGAAAGGAGTGCGTGAGCAGAAAGGAGGGGAAAATTTGGACTTTGAATGGGGATCAACCATCCCCCCACAAGAAGGTGTTGCCGTCAATGATCCCCCCCGCCCACGCGGTGCGCAGGTTGATCGCAGGGGCCGCGCGTGCGCCCCAGGCGGTCCTTGTAATACCACGTGCTGCCACGCAGGGTGGCTGTAAAGGAGACGGACAATAGGGAAAGCAGGGAGGTGGGGTGCGCAGGTGGGTTGGAGTTGGAGTGGGAACAGGCAAGCGAGTAACCTCGCAGGGGCCGCGCGTGCGCCCCAGGCGGTCCTTGTAGTACCACGTGCTGCCACGCAGGGTGACTGTAAAGGGGGGGAAGAAGAGGCGGGAATAGGGGAAGCGTGGGGGAGGGAAACAGGAAGGTGTGTGGGGGGGGGGGCCAAGGGAGGTGAAGTTTCCACTTGAAACGGCTTGACAGGCGACTGTGTTTGAGACGACTCAAGCGTCGCCCCACACGAAGGTGTTGCCATCGATGATCCCTGCTGCCCACGCCGTGCGCAGGTTGGGCCGCGCGTGCGCCCCAGGCGGTCCTTGTAGTACCACGTGCTGCCACGCAGGGTGACTGGGGGAAGCGGGGTTGGGAGGGGTGGAAAGGCAAGAAAAATATTGGCATATGAAAACCATTCACCTCGCAGGGGCCCCGCGTGCGGCCCAGCCGGTCCTTGTAGTACCACGTGCTGCCACGCAGGGTGACTGGGGGGTGGGTGGGAAGGTATGGATTGCAGGTGGGTGGGGGTTGGAGCGGGGACAGTTCGGCGACTGAAACCATTCACCTTGCACGGCCCTTGCATGTGCGCCCCAGCCGGTCCTTGTAGCACCACGTGCTGCCACGCGGGGTGACTGGAAAGAGGGAGGGGAGGGGGGATCAAAAGGGGGTGACAGGGACGCCTGACCGCGCCCCAGCCAGCCCTTGTAGCACCACATACCACGTGCTGCCATGCGTGCCGAAGTGGAAGGCCTGGTATGACCACGACACCTCCCTTGCACTGCACCGCACTAAACCGCACTCAATAACTCACAGTCAATGAGCCCACTCAACAACTTACAATCGAGGTATCTCTTTCCGAGGAACTTGGTTCCCACGACTTGCTGGATGTCAAAGGGCTTCTCAGCGGCCGAACAACCACAACACCTCCCCTGCATCGCACTGCACTACACCGCAATGCAATGCACCACACTGCACCGGACTGCACCCTATAACTCACAATCGAGGTATCTCTTCTCGAGGAACTTGGTTCCCACGACCTGCTGGATGTCAAAGGGCTTCTCAGCGGGGTAGGGGCGCTGCTGGTAGCCCCACAGGCCGAACAACCACAACACCTCTGCACCGCACTGCACCGCACTGCACTGCACCGCACTTAACTGCACCACTCTGCACCGCACTGCACCCCGTGACTTACAATCAAGGTATCTCTTCTCAAGGAACTTGGTGCCAACAACTTGCTGGATGTCAAAGGGCTTCTCAGCGGGGTAGGGGCGCTGCTGGTAGCCCCACAGGCCGAAGTGGAAGGCCCTATACAACCACTGCACCGCACTGCACCACACTACACTGCACCGCACCGCACTGCACCACACAAAACCGCACTCAATGACTTACAGTCGAGGTATCTCTTCTCGAGGAACTTGGTCCCCACGACTTGCTGGATGTCAAAGGGCTTCTCAGCGGGGTAAGGGCGCTGCTGGTAGCCCCACAGGCCGAAGTGGAAGGTCTTAAAGAAGTCGAGAAACACGTTGCCCGCCTTCTCCTTGTCGCCCGCTAAGCCTAGGCGTACGAGCTTGCCCGTGCCGAAGGGAGCTGCGCGGGGGAGGGAGGAGAGCCAGGGGAGCAAGGGGGAAGAAGAGAAGAAGGAAAGGTGTGAGGCGGTGAGAAGTAGCGCCTCTTCATTTTGCCCAGTAGGCTCAGCTGCGCCAGCTTGAGGGTGTGAAACGGCGCTGCTGGTAGCCCCAGAGGCCGAAGTGGAAGGTCTTAAAGAAGGAAAGAGTGCAAAAGGGAGTACAGAAGGTGTGCCACTTTCACCTCGTTCCATTGCGGGATTTCCCATTTCTGGTTACCCTGATACCATTAAAAAACTACCGCGTACCGGGAATGAGCGGCATTTTCTTCCAGAGCCCCTTGTCCTTCGCGTGCAGCGACGTCCAGCCTACCATCACTTGCTACCCCACCATGACATATACAACCAAACCCTAGTCTCGTACCGGGAATAAGTGGCATCTTCTTCCAGAGCCCCTTGTCCTCCGCATGCAGCGGCGCAAACCGTCTGGTTACCCTGTTACCACCAACAACTACCGCGTACCGGGAATGAGCGGCATCCTCTTCCAGAGCCCCTTGTCCTCCGCGTGCAGCGGCGCGGAGTGCCGGCGGATCTCCTCCTCCTGCTGCCGCCGCGCTAGCTCCTCCGACTTGAGCAGGAACTGCGTCATGCGGCTGTTGGCTACCCTCTGGTACAGCTGCAGTCAAGAGGGGGAACGGGGGGAGCGGGGAGAGGCAAGGGGGGTGGAAAAGGGGAAGCGTCATGCGGCTGTTGGCCACCTTCTGGTACAGCTGCGGCGGGGAAAAAGAGGGGAGGGCAGGAGAGGGGGGGGAGGGGGGGGGGGGGGAGGGAGGGGGGGATACGGCGACGGAGGGTTGGGGGAAGAGGTAAGGGGAGGGGAAGGAAACCTCCCGCCGCGCTAGCTCCTCCGACTTGAGCAGAAACTGCGTCATGCGACTGTTCGCACCTTCTGGTACAACTGCGGACCGTAAAAAAGGTGGAAGGGTGGGAGGGAGAAGTTGGGAGGAGAGAGGGATGGGGAGGTACGACGAGGGAGGGTTCGGAGGAAGGGAACGGGGAAAGGGAGGAAACTGCGTCATACGGCTGTCTGTGTCATGCAGCTGTTAACTCAGAGGCATTTATCCCAGTGAGCAGTGACCATGACACTTCTCTTAATACGGCCCATTCTCGTAAGAAAGGCACGCCATTCTGGTGACGTAACTTCGTACACGAATCTCACACGTGGAGCCCGGTGGGTTGCTGGCGACCTTTATTAACCGTCTACGATCACCCATGCGCAAGACACTGCCTCATTCTCAACAGGCTCTCGCCGTATCGCTCCTCAAATATCCTGTCATTCAGAGCGTAGGTTAATATTTCAACGAACTCATACGCACTATCAGGACCTTTCTTCTGTCACCATCCAGGGGTGAGCGTTCTTGACATTAGGCGTATACGTTAGGCCGCGCTTTGTCTGCACCTGATGCCACGTCTATTTCCTCCCCGCCACCTGATCTGCATGAACTTAACATAACCGGCCACATCTACCTGTCGTACCTTCTTGTTCGCGGCTAGCTCCTTCGCGGTCGCTGGTCCCTTGCGCACGTATTTCGGCTGTTCCGAATCGTCAATCTCAACAGGATCGTTTCGCCGCTCCCATTTCTGCATCAGATCAGCGGCCAGCTGCTGATTGGCTGCCGCTTCACTCGCTGCTGCTGACGTGGCAGCAGGCGCAGCGGCAGCTGCGCCTTTCTTTGCGGGAGCCGGCTTCGCCATGAGTCGGTGAACCACTAGCCTCGGGTCGAGAAGTTTATTATCAGAGTTGAAGTTAGAAATCGACTGTTAGAACCAGGTTTCGAACTTGGTTTTCAATCGATCTCCTCTACGCGGTACCTCTGGCTTTGGGGGTGAGAAAAACTTCAGAATCGCCCGTCCTGTCGTGTTCTACGTGTTGGCGATGCAGCCGGTTAATGTGCGGAACGAAACCTCGACCTAGGACGAGGCAACTGAGACCTGCCGAGAGGCAACTCGGTAATGGCCCTGCTTAGAGTGCCTTGGGCACTGAAGCCTACGATCCCAAGGCAATAGAGCCTCGGAGGAAACTGCAATACCTCGTAGAAATGAGGGGAGAGGGATTCTAGCTTGCCAGAGAATCCCAAGGGAGTGCAGAGAAATGTTGTCTCCCCGACCCCCAGGGAGACCGTGAGTTGAAAAGGATGTGGTTTGGCTGATGTTTGGAGTGGATGTGGCAGCCACGTGTTTCCCTATCATTGACGAGACATCCACTACCCAGCCTTCCATCAACGCGAATTACTATCGATTGTGCTTGTGTTGAAACATGTACACTTCATCCTCAACCGCACTATGAAATAACTCTGTAACAAAACATCATAGCATGATGTTATTATATTCATATCATTTGTTTATAATCAAGCGTGACAAATTTAGTACGAACTCTTACGGTATATGTTTTGATGTATGAAGGTCGTTATTGATTATATAAAACGTTGTACAAGGTAGATATTCTGGCTGCAACGCTGACAGCCTGCTTATTGTTATGAGTTGTAAAAGAGAGTGCGCGGGCAAACGAATAACGATACTGTGACTGGATGAATCTGAGAATACAATGAATGCGAGAACTAATGTAGGCTAGCCTAGCTAGGAGGAAACCTCGGACGAGCGAGGTTGGGTGCAGGTTTGGCGATGGAAATGCCGAAAGCGACGCGAGGAGCTTCGGCAGCGTGGAAATCGCCCGAACGTGCGAACTCCGAAAATCGGGTTGTACGCGCAGCAGTCAACCCCGATAAGGAATTCGAGAAAATTCCTTACACCACCCCCCCCCTTAAGAAAGGCGGTCAATATCCGAAACACGCTTGCGCGCCAAATAATCACCAACAAGTGGCGAGGCGTCGAGCGAGGCGGATGGCACCCACGTGTCGTCCTCACTGGTGCGATCAGTCCAGCGGATTAAGAAATCCACGTGTCGACCAGCTGCGTCAAGTCGAACCCGATGAGCGAGAATTTTCAATAGGTCGAGTGTCGGCTCTGGGACAGGTCGAGCTGTCGGGGCAGCTTGCTGACGTGCAATGTCGGTCGTGGCTGGCACGAACTTGCGAAGCAGGCTTACGTGGAAGGCGTCGTGAATGCGCCAGTCGTCTGGTAGCAACAGCTTCGCGGTGACAGGTGTCACCATCTTGATGATCTTGAACGGTCCGCAAAATCGGGGCCGTAGCTTCGATGGACCGGGCAGGTGCAGGTTCTTCGTGTCGAGGAGCACTAATTGCCCAGTAGTCAAGACGAGTTCCCGGCGTAGGAGGTCGGTGTATTTGCGGGAAGTAATATTCGCCTTGCGAATTGCGTCTGCTGCTTTCTCGCGTATATGCTGAAGTTCCGTCACAAAAGTGTGTGATCGCGGGACCGGGTTGTCGAGCGAAGTTGCCGTGGGCACCGTCGGATCCATCCCGTAATTCAAGAAGAACGGGGAGTGATTAGTCGTGCTCGATGGTGCGTTGTTGAAGGCAAACTCCAACATGGCGAGGGAATCTTCCCATCGTGCGGGGTCGGGGCAGTTTGTCCGTATCAGCTGCTCCATCGTCTGGTTGGTTCGCTCGGTTTGTCCGTCCGTCTGTGGGTGGTAGGCCGATGAGAACTGTAGCTTCGTGCCGTACTGCGCCCATGTTTCCTTCCAAAACTTGGATGTAAACTTCGGGTCCCGGTCGGTGATGATCGCCGAAGGGATGCCGTGTAGTCGCACGACCGTTGAGATGAAGAGGCGCGCAGTTTCTTCGGCTGTGATCGTCGTTCGGCATGGTGCGAAGTGCGCCATTTTCGTGAAGCGATCGACGACGACGAGGACAGCGTCGTTGCCGGACGGCCCAGCTGGCATCCCCGTGACGAAATCCATCGTCACCTGTTGCCACGGTCTTTCGGGTGGCTCGAGGGGTTGCAGCAGCCCAGCTGGTCGCTGACGTGTCGATTTCATGGCTTGGCACACCCTGCATGAGGACACATAACGCTGCACATCGTTAGAAGAATCGGGCCAGTAATATTGACGGTGCAGTAATTTCTGGGTTTTATCAACCCCGAAGTGTCCGGAGTAATGCGAATTGTGGACCTCCTGGATGAGGAGTTCACGCAGTAGCCGGTAAGCGGGGACCCAAATCCTGTCGGTGCCGGCTTTTAGGTAATAATCCCCCTTCTGCGTCGTGGCCTGCTGATGATTTCCTGTCGTGAAAAACGGGTCCGTAGTGTAGCCGTGGGTGAATAGTCTTATAAGTAGTGGGTTCGAATGGGTTATCAGTACAGCAGCGGATTGTACGGTCGGTCTGGTCAGGGCGTCGGCGATGTTATTCGCCCCTTTCTTGTACGTGATGCGGTAGGTGAAGTGGCTCTCCATGTAATCCAGCCACCGAATTTGTCGCGGGTTGAGGTTCGGTTGAGCTCGCAGGTACTGTAGGGACTTGTGGTCCGTGCGCACAGTGACGTCGGCGCCCACCAGGTAGCATCGCCACAGTTTAAACGCGTGGATTATGGCGAGCATCTCCTTGTCGTGGATCGGGTAGTTGCGTTCGGCAGCTTGCAGCTTGCGTGATTCGTAGGCGATCGGCTGCAGCCCGTTCCCGAAATCCTGGAGAAGCACTGCTCCGATGGCGAAATCAGAGGCGTCGGTTACGACTTCGAACGGCTTCGATGGGTCGGCGATGCGCAGCACAGGAGGGGAAACGAGAAAATTCTTGAGCTCCTGGAAAGCCGCCTCTGCCTCCTCCCCCCACACGAAATTCTTGTCCTTGTGCAGCAGGTCGGTCAGCGGGCCGGTTATCCCCGCCATATTCGGGATAAACCGCCTGACGTAATTCACGAACCCCAAAAAACTCTGGAGCTCCGTGACATTAGTCGGGGCCTTCCACTCCTGGATGGTTTTAATCTTCGCCGGGTCAATTTTAATGCCGTCGCGGGAGATGACGTGCCCTAAAAACTCCAACTCCTGCTTAAAAAACTCGCACTTAGAGCCCTTGGTGATGAGTCGGTTCTCCTGCAACCGTTTAAATACTGCGTCCAGGTCGCGGAGATGCTGCTCCCATGTCCTGCTAAAAATCAGGATATCGTCCAAATAGACGATGACACATCGGTCTAGAAGATCGCGAAAAACCCTGTTCATGGTCAGTTGGAATGTCGAAGGCGCGTTCGTGAGGCCGAAAGGCATCACTGTAAATTCGTAACTCCCGTAGCGTGTACGAAACGCGGTCTTGTGACAGTCGTCGGCGAAGACCCGAATCTGGTGGTAACCGCCACGTAAGTCGATTTTCGAGAAGTAGCGAGCGCCGCGAAGTTGATCGAGAAGGTCGTCGGTGCGTGGGATTGGGTAGCGAGATTTGATGGTCACCCGGTTCAACGCGCGATAATCGATGCACATGCGAAGCCCGCCGTCCTTCTTTGGAGTGAACAGGATCGGTGCCGCGAACGGGGAGGTGCTCGGCCGAATGAAGCCTTTCTCCAACAGTGCAACAATTTGTCGGCGTAGCTCCTCGAGTTCCGGTTGGGTCAACCGCCACTGTGTCCGAACAGTAGGTTGCGCGCCAGGTTCCAGCTGGATTTTATGGTCTTCGGGTCTTTCGGGTGGCAGCCCAGGTGGCAAATCGTCCGGGAAAATGTCGGGGTACCGTCGAATTAGCTCCGCTAAATCCGGAGGAACAGCTGCACACAGCTTTTCGATGTCCTTTCCGTCGGTGTCGACTGCCAACTCGCGCAAGCAGACGGCGAACAGCTGCGCACCCCTGTTGAAGTGGTGGGCGATGGTGATGGCTTTGACGCACGGGGCTTGTATGTAGTCAGGTGTCCATGCAGGCAACTTAATTAGCCCCTCGTGCTTGCTGACGCAGCACGATCCCGTTGTCCAGTCGATGACGGGGTTGTGTCGTCGCAGCCAATCGCGTCCCAGCAGCACGTCGCAGCCATCCAGCGTCGTCGCGAGGAACTTCATGCTGAAGCCGAAATCTTCGCCGCACTCGATCCGCACCATCCGTGTTTCTTCCGTTATCGCCAGAGGCGTCCCATCCACGAGTCGTGCGTCGATTTCGGGCAGACACCTGTCAAGTTGCATGTTGCATTTTTTTGCGCTCGCCAAGTTGAAGAGGCTATGGCTGGCCCCTCCATCGACGAACATTTTCAGATGATGTTTCCCCACCTTGCCAGCGACCAGCACAGGGTGATCCACATGATTATCCCCGTTATTCGGCCGAGTGCGATCGATTGCATGAATCGGAACCACGACTCGGTGGGGATGGTGGTGTTCGGGCGACGGAGCACAGTCAGTAAAGGGCCCGCTACTTACTGACTCTTCCCATTTCCCTGCTCCTTCCTGTCGTTCTCTGTCAGCGGCATTTTCTCCTTGCATTCGTTCTTCCAGTGACCCACCTTCCCACACCGGAAACACTGACCCTTAGGAGGGCGGTCGGGTGTATGGACGGCGTTGATTGTGGCCCGATGGGTCTGGCCACGAAAACCTCTCCCATCCCTGGAAGCCGTTCTCGCGTACTGCATCAGCGCATCCGTTGACTCTGCCACGCGTACTGCTTCGAGGAACGATGTCGGGCGGCTGCGGCGAACTTCGAACTGTATCTCGTACTTAAGGCCGCTCACGTATTTATCCAACCGCTCAGCTTCCGACATGTCATCGATTTGGTCGGCGAAGCCCATAAATGACGCCGTGTAGTCTTGGACAGATCCCATCTGCGACCATGCACGCAGCTTCATGCGAGCTTGCTCCGAGGCGGATACGTGCTCGAAGCGATTCCGTAAGGCTGCGCCCCACTCCTTCCATGTGCGTATCTTGGTCACACCGAAGATCGGTTCTGCAACTTGATTAACCACTGTAGAGGTCCCGTCTGCCGCATGTGTCACACCTGTCGACGTCCCTGTTTCCAAGGTCCGGCGCCACCATTCAAGTGCTGCACCTCGAAGAAGTGAGACTGCGTAATTAATGCGCGTGGCATCGTCATTAACTCCGGCTGCAGTGAAGAAGACTTCAACCCCGAACAGCCACCCCTTCACTGTAGTCGTCTTGTCCGTAGGATTAAACGGGGGCGGGTTGACGGGCTTGATCTTGATCGTCGTAACTGCAACTGGCGCTGCCGCCGCTCGCTGCCTATCTTCTTCTTCGAAGTCGCGTGTGAGCTCGTCCAGAGGATTGCCCATCACTTGACTGTTGCCCTCGCCTTCGTCCACAGGCGACGTCTGACGCGCTTCACCTCGCGTCCGGCGTAGCTCGGCGTTTTCCTCCTTCAGTGTTGTCACTTCCGCTTGCAGCGATTCCATGCCCCTCGCCATTTCTGCCACTTGCGCCATCAGTCGGTTAACAGCCTCCTGATCCATGTTTCTAGCACTACGTCTGGTGGGCAGTTGGGTACCCGTGGCCGCCCGGCAAGTGAAAACACGAACTATCGGAGTCGGGCAGGGTTGAGTTAACAACCTCTGCAGCCAACCGTCGTGTAGTCACTAAACCAACCACACCCTATGCCACCAAACTACCCTTGAAAAGCGGGGTGAACTAGGAAAGTAGCTCTGATACCAGGTGTTATGAGTTGTAAAAGAGAGTGCGCAGGTAAACGAATAACGAGACTGTGACTGAATGAATCTGAGAATACAATGAATGCGAGAACTAATGTAGGCTAGCCTAGCTAGGAGGAAACCTCGGACGAGCGAGGTTGGGTGCAGGTTTGGCGATGGAAATGCCGAAAGCGACGCGAGGAGCTTCGGCAGCGTGGAAATCGCCCGAACGTGCGAACTCCGAAAATCGGGTTGTACGCGCAGCAGTCAACCCCGATAAGGAATTCGAGAAAATTCCTTACACTTATCGAAACAGCAGTTGTATGTCAAAGTTGGTGGGAGATGGTCGGTGGGACCATATCGTTGGGCCGTTTCGACTCTCCAGTTTGGCTCGGTTTTGCGAGAAAAACCGCGTGTGCGTGCACTGGCAGTTTGACTGGAGTGTTGTTTTGTGTAGTGTTTGGCAGAACCGACAGGGGCGATCGAGCTGAGCGCTTGGTAATTCGCCGTTGGCGACAGGAATCGTAATCAGCAGCTTTGACGACGGTCACACCAATCGACGTCCAGAAAATGACGTTAGACTTGAAGCCGCTTGTGCTGGCGACTCAGCTCAACCTGCGCGACGGTTTTGCTTCGAAACAGCATTGGTTGCGACTCCATTGTTTGTGGAGCCAACCAAGCTGGTTCTGAGCTCAGACAGAGAGTCGGGGAAAACTTGTCTGCTTGTTCTGGCTGGCGAAATTCCACAGGTTGAACATTACCGAGTCGCATGTGAGTTTCATGACTGCGCTTCTTTCCAAAATGGAAATAAGAGTCGCACAGGCGACATTTGCGAGCCTCCGCGAAAGCACCTGAGCCCCGATCGGGTGAGAGTTACAAATGAAACGAATGTCTACGCCACACCTCGTACAACGGCCCCACCTGTGGTTATCGCCACAAACCCTTTTCGAGTCGCAGATTCCTTCCCAGATCAGTTGATCTCCTCCACATCCGCAGCACCATCCGCCGGACGGGACGAGCATGGCCTCACACCACATCACTCACACACACACATCAGCTGGCTCCCTCCACTTCAATTTTCTGATCAGGTTTCTACAAAGGCGGCAGCATCCCGCCAGCCTTATGTCTTGTGTGCGGCGTCATCCTCGTCAGTTTTCAAGGCTTTAGGTGTTTATTCCTGCAGAAATAGCTGGGCTCTAGCAAGGCTACCGCGACCTGGACAGGAAAACGCCTTTTAGCTGACGCCTGCTCCAATTTCATCCCGTCTCCCGTGATTGTAGCCCCTGCCATATTAATCACTTCCGGCAACTGAACTTACACGTAGCGGCTGAATTCTAGGGTGTTTTGGTCGCGCTACGCGCGAGTGCACTACGTTGAGTGACGATGGCGCAAAATACGCGCAATTTCGCTCTCCTTTGCGTTTTCCTTTTCCTCTGCACTTCCCTCCCGTCCGCCTTTTCATCCATAAGCGATCGTCGACTCACACCACGCGAGCGAATCCTTCGCGACGGCGCGCTACTCGCCGACCGAAGCCACTCCGTCATCTTTAAAAAAGGCTCCTCGAGCGACTATTCCGCCGATTCCGTCAATCCCGTCAATTCTGCCGGCAGCGGAGCAGACACCCGACGCAATCTAAACGGCGGTCCGGTGACGTCGTTCGCGATCGCAAACGGCATCTCGCGGGGCAGCCTCATCCAGAGCGGCTTCGACGACACCTCGGACGATCGCTCCAATTCGCCCAGCGATCAGTCGCGCGGCGACCGATTCAGAGATCCGAACGATCAGGTCGAGGCGCCTTCGCTCACCATTTTCTGCGCTCCAAAACCCTACTCGTCGATCGTGGATCCCTCGGACCCAAACCCCGACTCGCAGCGGCGCGCTTTGCTCTCCTGGCTGCGCCTCTCCCCGCCCCCGAAAATCGTTCTTTTCGGAAACGACACGTCGTTCCACGAGCTCGCGCGTCCGTTTCCCGCGCAGATCTCCGTCGAGCCGCTGATCGACAGCAACTTCTACGGCGTGCCGCAGTTTCACAGCATGGTGGCGCGCGCGCAGGCCGCTTCGACCGACATCTCGATGATAATCAACGGCGATATCATCCTCCTGAATGACGTCATGCTCGCGCTGCAGAAGACGCACGGAACTTTCCAGCACTGGGTGATGACAGCGGCGCGGTGGGACATGCCGGAGGATTTTCCGTACTCCTTCGAACCGCAGATGTGGGGGCAGCGGGGGCTGGCGCGCGGGCGCAGCCACGCGGCGATGGAGGAGGAAATCCGCGGGTTTGTACGCGATATAGGCACGCTGCACACGTACGGCGGGGTGGACTTCTGGGCGTGGAATAACGACTCTCCCGCGCCGCTGTTCGACGGGGTTATGCCGCCGTTCTCGTTCGGGCGCGGGAAATACGACAACTGGTTCACGCACGAGATCGTGGTGGCAGGGCGGCGGACCATGGTTGACGCCAGCGAGGCAGTCACGGCGATCCACGTGGCGCATTCTTACTCGCACGTGGTGGAATCAGCTGCGACCAAGAGCCTCGCCAGTAGGAACGGAAACGGAAACGGAAACGGTAACGGAATAGCAGCAGGGAAGAACTTTTGGAGCACGCGGAAGAAGAGCAGCTGGGAGCTGTTCGGTAACATCCACATGGCCATGACACATGGTTCCTACGCCAATCAGAAGGGCACTGCGCTGCACGTGCCCTGGAAGCTCGCCACGTGTCACGAGCCGTCCGTGCACAACATGTGCCTGCAGCAGCGCCTTCGCCCCGCCACGTGTACCTGCGAATCCGCGAATTTCGTTCGGTCCAGCCAGACCGACCCGAAGCTGGATAAAACGGGCAGGAAATGGACATGTGGCAGCGTGTCAGTGGACAGGAATTCGGACTACAGTATCCCCACTATTCCTCCTCCTTCACCCGCCTCCTCCCCTGTAGGCCTCCCACACACCATGGAACAGCTAATAGCCACAATCGCTCGGACCGTCCCGGACGGGCGGGGGGGAGAGCTGCAGGTGGTAACCCTAGTGGCGGTAACCGCGGGGTACGCAGAGATGCTGATGAGCTTTGTGTGTCGCCTGCGCTCCCTCGGCCTCGCCTCCAACCTCCTCGTTGCCGCGCTTGACGAGGACTTGTACCGATTCGCATTCACGCAGGGCCTGCCCGTGTACTATGAGCAAGTCAGCCAAGGGCTGAAGGGGGTGGATTCAAAGGACTGTGCCTTTGGCAGCCAGTGCTTCAGGCAGTTCACTAAGCTGAAATCCCGGGCTGTGCTTCGGGTGCTCAAGGCTGGGTATTCTGTGCTCTGGACCGACGTCGACATTGTCTGGTTCACCGACCCTCTCCCGGACCTGCTCTCGTATGGTCCGGGGACTTTCCCGATCCAGAGCAATGAGCCGAATGTAACGCTGCCCGGGACGGGCATTCGGCGAATCAACTCTGGGTTTTATTTTGCCCGGGCAGATAAGAGGACAGTGGCGGCATTTGAAGCGATTACTGCCCATGCAGCTACTACAAGATTGTCAGAACAACCGAGCTTCTATGATATCCTGTGCGGTGTGAAGGGCGAGAATGTTGTGGAAGGGAAGGAGGAGTGTGTGTGGGAAAACGGCCTTCGCACTATCTTCCTCGACAGAGTCGTGTATGCGAATGGTGCGGCGCATGGGTTTTGGGACGAGGAGGATGTGGAGGGGGCTTGCAGGAGAAAGGGGTGCACCATTTTACACAACAACTGGATTGCTGGGAAGGATGCCAAGAAGCAACGGTTTGTGGTGAACTCGTTTTGGCACTATGATGCAGAGAAGAGAATGTGCATGTGGAGATGGCATAGAGGCGCAGCTCAAAGAGGAGTCACAGGGAGCAGAATCTCGGCCATGAAATGATAACTTCGGAATGTTACTTTTCACGAGGCCCTGTTGTTTGTAAAATAGCAAAATGGCATTACTATTGGCTTAATGACGCATCACTGAACAAGAATTAACACTGGGCTTGTATTATATCCTGATCTTACATTCCCTTCAGAAAAATCTATATGGTGTGTCGAGGCCGATCGAATAATGCATCCCTGCCTTCCCTCACTTCGCCTATGGATCCATCAGGCAACGTGGTCAGGTTGGCCAAAAAAAATTTCGCTGTCTTCGCTGACGGTGATTGGCGCTGGTCGCTCCAAGCCAGCCTGCCCCACCACACCCACATTCGGCCTCCAAACGCCACCAGCTGCGATTTCCTTGAGAGCTTGTATTCGCCATGTTACCATACGTGACGAAGCGAAGGTCGCAATGATGGCCAAGCGAAAGAGGCCAGCCAGAAAAGAGTTGTGAGTGGAGAAAGCCGCACGTTACTTCGCGCAAGCTGTTCGCGTTTCTTCGTCACTTACTAAACGTCGTTCACCTTATCCTTTGTCGGATCGCGTCTCTTATTCCCCGCCGCCGAGCTTGAAGCTTGCCCCTCCCTTTGGTGATACCTGTCGTGACATTCCTGCTACCCTTATCGCATTCCCGCATAACTCGCCTGCTGCAGCCCGATAAGTACCTCAAAACATTCACGTTCTCACATACGTCAGTTCCTGTCAGCGGTTTCACCACCGTTAATCCACATTGTAAGCGGCATAACACGCCACAGAGAATTCGACTATCCGTAACCTCCTCCTTCGAAGGCCACGCCCCGCGGTCCCGTGCTGCCTTCCTTCCCTCTTCCGCGACGTTCCACTATACCGCTTATAGTAAAGCGCTCAGTAATCAGCATACAAAATGGGCCGAAAACCGCCCCATAAATCATTACCCTCACCAGCAGTAACCCTGGTCGTCAATGTCATCCTAGTAACAATCACTCTCCTCCTCCCCGTCGCCACGGCGAACAAGCACACTCCATACAAGCACGTTCCGAAGCACCAAGCGCAGCAGCAAGAGCAGCAGCGGCAGCGCCATTTCCTCACCATTTTCACCGCGCCCAAGCCCTACACGTCCGTCCTCGACCCGTCCTCCCCGCACGCCGACCCGTCCTCCCCGCACGCCGACCCGCAGCGCCGTGCGCTGCTCTCGTGGATGCGCCTCCGCCCGTCCCCGAAAATCGTTCTCCTGGGGAACGACTCCTCTTTCCGCGCGCTCGCGCAGCAGTTTCCCGCGCACGTAACGGTCGAATCGTCCATCGACACGAATTTCTACGGCGTGCCGCAGGTTCACAGCGTTATCGCGCGCGCTCAAACCGCGGACACGCCGGTTTCGATGGTGATCAACGCGGATATTATTCTCATGAATGACGTCATGGCTGCGATGCGGAAGGTTCACGAGAACTTTCGCCACTGGGTCATGACTGCGGCGCGGTGGGACATGCCCGAGGAGTTTCCGTATTCGTTCGAGCGGGAAATGTGGGCGGGGAGGGGGCATCGGGAACATGAAACGACGATTCGCGAGTTCGTACGTACGCACGGGACGCTGACCCACACGTACGGCGGGGTCGACTTCTGGGCGTGGAACAACGACGACCGTACGCCGGTGCCACTTGTAACGGGAGCCGTACCGCCGTTCTCGTACGGCCGCGGCAAGTACGACAACTGGTTGACGCACGAGATTATCTCGTCGGGGCTTCGCGAAATCGTCGACGCCAGCGAGGCCGTTACAGCCGTACACGTGGCGCACTCCTACTCGCACGTGATGGAGTCGGCGTTCACGAAAAACGCGGCGGGATTGGCGGGGAAGAGCTTCTGGAGCACGAGAATGAACAGTAGCTGGGAGCTTTTCGCGAATATCCACTTGGCTCACACGCACGGGACGTACGCCAATCAGAAAGGGACACCTCTGCACGTGCCTATCAAGCTGATGAACTGCCTGGAAGCTTCGGGTGAGTCCTTTATTCCTCTAGGATATGGATCTGTAGGCTCAGGGTTTCAATACTGGCACATTTGTTATTGCTCCACCATTCCCCCTTCTCCCCATTCTCCCTCCTCCCAGCCAACCTCCTGTGCCCGCGAGTGCTCCTCCGCCGAGGCCGCTTCACAGACGGAACCCCACCTGAGCTCTCTTCCATGCCCCACACCCCTTGCCTTCCCGTTCCCCCCAGCCAACTACCTGTGTCTGCAGCGCCGCCTGCACCCGGCTGTCTGCTCGTGTGAATACTCCTCTGCGGTCGCTTCCTCTCAGACCGATCCCCGCCTGAGCGCCAAGACGAATCAGTGGACGTGCGGCTCCGTCGCCCCTGCCAACGCCACTGATTACACCATCCACGTTCCACCACAATCAACCACCTTTCTCCGCCTTCCCCCCTTTCTCGTTTTCCTTTCTTTCCCGTTTCCCTTCCAGCCAACTACCTGTGCCTGCAGCGTCGTGTGCGCCCAGCAGCATGCTCCTGCGAGTATTCCTCCGCAGTCTCCGCCTCCCAGACGGACCCTCGTCTGAGCGCCAAGACGAATCAGTGGACGTGCGGCTCCGTCGCCCCTGCCAACGCCACTGATTACACCATCCATGCCATTCCGCACACTGCTGTTGACTCGTCCACCAACAGCAGCAGCAGCAGCGGCAGTGGTGGTAACAGCAGCAGCGGCAGCAGCAGCAGCGACGCAGGAGCTTCAACCAACTCCTCCTCCTCTGCCTCCTCCTCCCCTTCCTCCTCTCCTGTAGGCCTCCCACACTCCATGGAGCAGCTATTACCAGTGCTAGCCCGCAGGGTCCCGGACGGGCGGGGGGGAGAGCTGCAGGTGGTAACCCTAGTGGCGGTAACCGCGGGGTATGCGGAGATGCTGATGAGCTTCGTGTGTCGCCTGCGCTCCCTCGGCCTCGCCTCCAACCTCCTCATCGCCGCGCTTGATGAGGACTTGTACCGATTCGCCTTCACGCAGGGCCTGCCCGTGTACTATGAGCAGGTGAGCTTATTTCGCCTCTTTCCCCCCACCTCTCTCTTACCCTCCTCCTCCTCTTCTCATTACCCCCACCTGTCTCACGCACTGGACAAGGACTTGTACCGATTCGCCTTCACGCAGGGCCTGCCCGTGTACTACGAGCAGGTGAGCTTCTTTTGCTTTTCCCCCATCTCCCGCTTCCCCACCCAGCCCCTCTCTCCCCCCGACGAGGACTTGTACCGATTCGCCTTTACGCAGGGCCTGCCCGTGTACTATGAGCAGGCAAGTGAGGAGGTGAAGCATATGCGCGCCCCAGAGTGTGGGTATTGGCAGCCAGTGCTTCCGTGTTTACTTATCTCTAGCCACTTTCTCTTTGCCCTCACCCATTTCCCACCCACAGGCGAGCGAGGAGGTGAAGCATATGCGTGCATCAGAGTGTGGGTACGGCAGCCAGTGCTTCCGCCACTTCACCAAGCTAAAGTCTCGTTCTGTGCTCAAAGTTCTCAACGCCGGTTACTCTGTTCTCTGGACAGACGTCGACATAGTCTGGTTCACCGATCCTCTCCCGGACCTGCTCTCGTTCGGCACGGGAACGCTCCCGATCCAGAGCAACGAGCCGGACGCGAATCTGCCCGGAACTGGCATTCGGAGGATCAATTCAGGGTTTTATTTCGCCCGGGCAGACCGGAAAACAATCGAGGCGTTTGAGGCGATTACGGCACACGCAGCAGCGACAAAACTGTCGGAACAGCCAAGCTTCTATGATGTTCTCTGTGGGGAGGCAGGAGAGCTAGTTGCTGCAGGGAGGGAGGAGTGCGTGTGGAAAAACGGGCTGAGAACGGTCTTTCTAGACAGGGCCAGGTACCCTAATGGGGCGGTTCACGGGTTGTGGGAGCAGAAGAATGTTCACAGGGCGTGTGCGAAGGTGGGGTGCTCCATTCTGCATAATAACTGGATATCTGGGAAGGAGGAGAAGATGAGGCGGTTTTTGGCGAATGACTTGTGGCATTATGATGCGGAGCGGCGCATGTGCGTGTGGGAGTGGCATGGGAAGGTGCCACCGCTGGTGAGGCAAGTGGAAGGAGAGGGGGGCGGAGGAGAGCTGAATGGGGGGGCTGGTGGGAAAGGGCAGAGGAGAGGTAACGAGAACAAGAGGTTCCACCTAAAGCAAGCGGCGTTGTAGAGAAGCCATATGATATTGGTGTGCCATGCCACACATACCCAGTTCTGCTAGGCCTCCTTTCATGGTTTGATTCTTCAGCCCTATGCTGGTTCAGCTCCTTTTCAGCCTTGCTCCTTGAGGGAAAGATCATTGCCGCGCCACTTTACGACCCCTCCGATTTAGGGTACTACGGTACATTCCTGGATCAACACTTGTGTCTCAATTCCAAAGTACCGCTCTGTGTTGGAAACAATAAGACCTAAGCGCTTCAGTCGTGTCGAAAACACCGCATCAGAAGCGAGGCAAACTACACCGAAGCACCCGCGAGTCAACCCTCGGGGGTTGAAGAGGTTGCTGGAGGTTACGCGAAGGTCAAAGGTCGCTGACCTTTGACCCGACAAGTACAGCGCGACAGTTAAGGACATACAACTGACTCGTTACAGAGCAGTTGCCCGAGTCGTACTGTATCGAACCGCAACAGCAACAGTAAAAGTAGTTATAACCGTATCCTTTGATATTCCTTACACCACTATATATTCTTGTACTTTCCTGTTATAATCAATCTACTTTGCCCTCACATACTAGCGCAAGGTGGTTCACAATTACTTCACTAAAAGCTTCCGCTATTACAATTGTCCTACCCAGAGTTCTCCCCTGAAAAGATCCTAAGGGGCTATCTCAGCCCAACATGGTATGAGAGCGGTCAGGGGAAATTCTACCTCTTCAATTCAAAGACATTACAAGACATGGCAACAAACAAGGAGAGGAGCTCTTCTAATGGCTCCCCGGGGACTACTCCTACACCACCTCCTGCCTCTGGCCTGCAGACAGAGGAAGGCACAGCAACAAGACCTAGGGGAACGTCCACCGAGACTCTCACAAATCGCCCCACGGGCTTTGACCAGAGCATGATGGAGAAGTTTTTCTCCTTCATGTCCTTCTACGAGCAGCACCAGCAGTCGGGACCTGCACAGACACACAACAGCAACAACGGAGTGACACCCATGAGCCTTGATGGGTCGTCATACGCGCGCGGAAATCAACAGCAGCAACCTACCTTCGCCCCGTACGAACGCGGGTCAATCAGCTTCATGCCGCAGTCTTCGCCTGCACAAGACAAATCACTGGACGCGTTACAAGTACAGTCGCAATTCGCACACGTTTTGAAGCTTCAGACGTCAAGACCATTCGACGGAAAGGACTTCTTCACCTGGTCCTTTGAGTTCGAGTTGATGATGGAGGGCGCGCAGATACTTGGCTTCTTCGACGGGTCCCTGCAATATCCAGCAAACGGCACACAGTATGAGAAGCAGCAGTACACATATCAATCGATGATGGCGTATACGATCCTACTGAGGAACTTAACACCAACCCAACAGCAGAACATTCGGTCCTACCGGGCCTTCGGCAACTCGGCGGAGCTCGCGTACAACCATCTGAAGAGCCTGTATCAAGCAACAGACAGTGTAAACCAGAGCAGGTTAATGGCGCAGCTGACAACAGTTGAGATGAAACCAGGAGAGAAAGGAATGGCATATATCAGTCGATGTCGCGAACTGCGCGACAAGCTTCTTCGATGTGGAGGATCAATCTCTGAGGACGCCTTCGTGACGGTCATCATCGGTGGCCTCGGCCCTCAGTGGCGCGCAACAAAGGCCATCCTCCGAGCCCACGGACGAATTTCTGAGGCAGCACTCTGCGCCGAAATCCACGCCGAACAGCAGGACATGGATCTGCAAGAAGAACGACACAGGAAGAAGACGACAACGTCAGAGTTCGCATTTCACACCCAACGACGACACAACAACTACAGCAACAGACAACAACAGCCGAAGCCAGTACCTCCCTTCTGTCACATCTGCAAGACTTCAGGGCACCCGCGCACGCACTGCCCGAATCGTCAACAGTCAACGACCCCGCAACGACACCTTCGACCTTCAAGCAGTCAAATTGCGTCAACGCAAGCAAATCCAACGACCCAGATCCAAGCTTCAACAACCTCAACGGGACAACCTGCGCAAGGAGCAAGAAACATCGTTAGCTGCATGGCAAGACTAAGTGACTCTTGCGTCATGGATTCACCACCTCATTACTCACCGGAAGAACAACTCGACAACACCACACCTCGTCGCGAAGCACTTCAACCAAATCCGACATACGCTGCCATCGCCCAAAACGAGCCATCCGGAAAAGACACGTGGTTCTTGGACAGTTGCTGCGGACAACACATGTGTTCTTCGGGACGCTTCGTACAGAGAGAGTATCAGCTTCTACGAGAGGTCGTCATCACCGTCGCCAATAATCAAAACCTGTACACACGACGACAAGGAATTGTACAACTTCAGTCACGGGAGACAAACGTCATTCTGCAAATGTCCAAAGTTTTAATCGCAGAAGGCCTCGGATACAACCTTCTCAGTGTGAGTCAGTTGATGGCGAAAGGCATCCACCTCGAAGCAGACAGCACTACCCAAGAATTCAAGCTGTACCACGGGAGAGGAGGTCTTTACATCGGGAAGGCAATCCTTAAAAACAACGTCTTCGTCTTGGACTTCGTTCCTGATCTCGGCACCGCTGACAGTGACGCCATAGTCAACTTTACCAACTGGACACACCCTCCGGATCTTGACCCCGACTTCAGTCCAGGCGGCTTCTGGTATTCACATACCATTCCTGAAACAGAGAGAACAAGAGCATTAGCAGCGATTCAACAATCGGCAGCAGCAGAGACAACGTCGGCAGCAGCAGAGACAACGTCGGCAGCAGCAGAGACAACAACAGCAACAGCGACAACGACGACACCAGTCGCCGGTCCTTCAACGACGGCGCTCTTCAACGACGATGCACCACCAACACCTGCACAACAGCTTCAGCCAGCACCACGAGAATTTCATCACAGTCCCAACTTCACCACCGGTCTCTACTCCAACTCCGACATGTATCAGCGCTCACCCGGTCATCGCGCCAACGAAGAAATCTGGCACGCAAGAATGGGACACCCAAGCAACACTGTGTTAAACAACACAATTCGAGCAGGAGTACTCGACAAGGACTCTCTGCTTTTAACAGACGGCAGAGAACTTCAGCGAGCTCGAGGAACATGCTTCACCTGCCCCGAAGCTGACTTACCGCATCAGCCCTTCGTTTCGCATCACAACCCAAGCGCACCTGCATATGCACCACTCGAGAAAGTATACAGCGACATCTTGTACAACCGCGAACCCGGACAAAACGCGTATAACTACACCATCACCTTCATCGACGCCGCTACACGCTACGTCTGGCACCTAAACTTACCAAGTCGCGACATGGCTTTCGAGGCTTTCGTGGCATGGCTTCCAGCAGCAGAACGGGAATCGGGAGCTAAACTCAAAAGCTTCCAATCAGACGGAGGAGGAGAATACTCGTCACAGCGATTCAAGCAGTACCTGGCGGAGAAGGGAATCAAGAGACTCATCTCCCTTCCCTACGCCCATCAACAGCAGGGTGTAGCAGAAAGGATGAACAGGACTCTGCAGAACACCATGCGCAAACTGTTACGTGGCATGCGGCTACCCAACCACCAGTGGCCCGAAGCAATGGACCACGCCGTGATGCTGCACAACTTGCTTTCTTCGTCGTCACTCCCGAACAACACATCACCGCATCTGCTGTGGACAGGAAAACTGGGCAGCACAAAAATGTTACGAGTCTTCGGCTGCATGGTACAGTACCGACCCCCATCTGCACGAGCCGGCCGATTCTCCCAACGCGCACAGTGGGGACTACACCTGGGCATCGAAAAACATTACAACGCATGGAAGATCTTCGATATCAACAGCAAAGAAACAGTAGCAGCACGTGACGTGATTTTCTACGAACGACTCACACTGCCAACGTACCTTGCCAACCTGGACGAAAATCGAGACCCCACAGGCGGCTTCCGTGGCGATCGAGCCTTCGCTTCGACAGAAGACGAAGCTGACTGGGACGAGCAGAATGTGGAAGGAGCCTCGGAAGAAGCCGGACCTCTTCCCTACTGCTCAGTGGACGTACCGATGGACGAAGAAAACCCTCGCGAAAGCGTCAACGCCGAAACTTACTACCACTTCGCCGACAACGGTTACGTTACACCTGCTGAAGTCAACACCAACGAAGCAGAACGCATAGGGCCCAACTTCGCACCCGATCCAGAAACTGGAGACGAAGCAGTCTATCCCGAGGACACCACACTCCCCCGCTACACACAGAGCGGACTCCAAATCCTTGGTCTCGTCACCGCGGTCCACGGCGTCAACATTCCTAAGGAGCCTGCGACAGTTCAGCAGGCTCTGGGGGGGGAGCATAAGGAAAAATGGCGCGAAGCCATGGACAAGGAGCTGAAGGCATTAGAGGAACGCAACACCTGGAAAGTCGTTCCCATCGGTGTAGCGCGAAACAAGACCATTCTTACCGGGAAATGGGTCTTCCGTGTGAAGACGAAGGCCGACGGCACCATCGACAAGTTTAAAGCACGATGGGTCGTTCGCGGCTTTGACCAGGAACATGGACGAGACTTCACCGAAACCTTCGCTCCGGTCAGCCGCCACACTTCACTTCGAATTCTTCTCGCCATCGCCGCTATGAAGAAAAAGAAACTGCGCCAAATCGACGTCGCAAACGCTTTTCTCTACGCACCGGTCGATGCAGAGATTTTCGTGGAACTACCGCACGGCTCCAACACAAATTCCACGCACGTCTGCCAGCTACTAAAATCGCTTTACGGGATCAAGCAGGCACCGCGACTGTGGCAGCAGTACCTGCATACTCGTCTCATCCGCATCGGCTTCAAACAACTCCCGCACGATCAGGGCATGTACCGCCTCACGAAGAACAGCGACTACATCTTGCTAATTGTCTACGTGGACGATCTTCTCTACATCGGCTCTACCGACAGCATCACCACCTGGTTCGAAGGGGAGCTGCAGAGGGACCTCACCCTCACTGTCTCATCTACCGTCACACAGTATCTCGGACTTAACATTCGAGAAGATAACGACGCG